AGAAGAGAATTGGACCCAGGACAGAGCCCTGAGGCACACCTGTGGTTAGAGGAGGAATGGTCTGAGAGGGAGGAGGAGGACCAGGGGAGAGAAGAGAGGGTCAAGGAGGGGAGTGTGGTCAACAGTGTCAAATGCTCTGTGTGTGTATGGATGTATACATATCTAGTGTCAAAGACTATATATATGTATGTGTATATGTGTGTGTATTTATATATGCACATATATACATATACACAGTTTTTTTTCCCCCAGGGCCAGTTGTTAAAATATTTACCAGCATACTACTAGATTGACTTCTCTTAGAGGGTCTGTTAATCCTTGTGGGTGTATGCTTATGACTTGTCTTGGGGGGCAGAAGCACTAGAATGATTCTGGAGCAAAATGGCATCCCCACAAGACCAGGTGAAGATCTGGGGAAGAATTGCAGGTGTAATCCAAAAGGGTCGAGTGACCAATTCCCCGTGATGTGTGTAGTGGCAGCTTGGCCTACTGGAGGGAGCACTGGACTTTAATCCCTTTCAGACACTTGCTATGTGTATGACACACCTTCCTCCCCAGACCTGCCCCACCATGACTATTTATCACAAGGCTGGAAGTTGAGGGTTAGGGTTAGGCCCTGAACAGTTTAAATCATGGCTCCATTCAATGGACTTCTCTTGAGCCTCTGCCTGCAGTCATTCCTCAGTGATTAGTGTCTCTCCACCTTGTCATGCCCTCCCCCCCCTCCCAGTAAATCTGAACCACTCTTTAATTATTCAAACCTCATTCTTTCCCCCTTCCCCACTCCCTCATTCCCATCCCCCTCAAAGTAACCCACCTCTCCCAAACCTCCCACTCTGAAGCTCCCTTCTACTTTGTTCTCTGGAATCTGGGCAATCTTTTGTGACAACCTGGCTTTCATTTTAACCCTTTATCTTTCTCCCTCTTTCCACCTGCTGGTACTCATGTGAGCTGTGTTCCTGTGGATGACGTGGCATTGCTGGCCACTCTCTCCAGCACTGGCAGCATTTTCTCTCCTCTCACTCATCCCTTCGTGCCCCTACCTCCGTCCACACAGTGGTCCTGGTGGATACTCCTTGCTCCCTCCCCCATTACTTCCAGGCTCTCTGTCTACTACCATAGCTCAGTAACGTCTGCTCCCTGGAGGTTCATTCAATATGTATTTATCACTCCCTTGAGATGCTATTATCTACCATTTCCCAAGATGCTCTCATTCCTTCCTCATTGAGTTAGAGCCTGGTTCACAGTCTTTCTCTCCTCCCCAACTCCTGTCCTCAGACAGGGGACTTCAACAGGACATTGAACCTAACTTTACAGTTAGATTAACTAACAGTTCCTCTACGGGGTCATTTCCCCTGAGCCCACCTCAGCTACCCACAGAGATGGTCATTGCCTTTCTCTTGCCATCACCCACAAGTGTTGCCCTTCCCTGTTCATGAACTCAGAAATTCCCTCATCTGATCATTATCTTTTAGCATTCCATCTCTCCCTAAGCCTCTTCTTTGTCCTCACTATACCCTCCAATCCCTCTACCCCTCAGTTCTTTCCTAGGCTATAACTGGCTATACTCTCTTCATCCCTTTGCTGAACCAATCTGGCTCTACACTACCCTCTTCTCTTCAGTTCCTTGCCCCTTGTCCTATCACCACTGATCTTGGCCTGCCAAGCAAGCATCAGTCTTGGGCTCCTCCTCCCATCTGCTGCCTTCTCTCTTATGCACACGCCAGTGACCAGAGCTAGAGAAAATCACAAACCCGTGCTGAATGGGTCTGCTACAGATTTATGTTATACAATCTCTATTGGACCATCACTTAGGCATCACAATCCTTCTTTACCTGCCTAATTAATTTACTCTCCCATTCTCCACCGTGGCTCTTCCTAACCTTTTCCTCCCTCCTCAAACCTTCCATGGCTCCCCCTCCCCCACCTTCTCAGTTGAGAACCCTGCCTTGTATTTCACTGCAAAAACAACTGAGGCCATTTGCTGAGAGCTCCCTCTTTTCTTCTCCTCTCCTCCTCATGTCACATCACTCAGATGCCCTCTCCCTCCTCCTTCACCCGTCTCACCTGGTGAGGTGGCCCTTGTCCACACACCTCCTTCATCCCATTCTAGCCTGTGTTCTTCAGTGGATTGTTCCCTCTATCATCCTTACTCTCTCACTATTTTTTTTGGTAAAAATTAGTTTTTATTGATGTCTTTTATATTTTTACATCACACTACCTTCCCCCAGTATTCCTCCTCCTTCCCTTCTTAGAGAACTATCTCATATAATAAATAACATTTTTAAAGATAAAAGAAAAAAGAAGGGAAAAATCAGCATAATTGATCAACATATTGAAAAAGTCTGAAAATATATGCAATGTACAACACTTGTGGAACTTCCCCCCCCCCCACCTATGTGAAGGGTCTTTTCATGTCCCTTTTTTCAAAACATTCACTTTTGATCTCTCACTAATCTTCAGTCTCTCCCTGTCTACTGGCTATAAACATGTGCATGTCTCCCCTATCCTTAAAAATCCCTCACTTGATCTGTCCATTCCCCCAGCTGTCAGCCCATATCTCTCTTCCTTTTTATGGCTAAACTTCTTGAGAAGGCCATCTACACTCAGCGTAGCACAAGGTGCCGTGACACAGTTAGAACTGAATGATGTTCTCAGTGTCACGTGTATTGCAGTGCCTGTCTGCAGAATGAGGATTGCATTAGGTAGTCTTGAAGGTCCCTTCCAGCTGTACTCTGTGACCCTATGAACTGACTAATAACATCTCCATTTGTCAAAGATTGGCACCCAACTTTGGTAGAGTGACTGGCCCAGATCATAGAAAAGTTCTACGAAGGTGCTTGACGTCTGGAACTCCCTAGACCTTAGGTCTGGAACTGGAAGGGTCCTCACACACTCATTGGGGTATTTTGGTCATTTTGACAGTATTTGTTTTTGAATTCATTACTTTTTATAAACATTTATTAGGTCTCTCTCTGGTTCCCCCCTTTCTATTCCTCATTGAACAACAAAAGGGAGAAAAAGAAAATAGCAAATATGCATAATGCAGCCAAACAAATTCCCCATTGACCATGTACAAAAATGTGGGTCCCATTCTGCATTTTTCCAGTCCATCCTCTCTCTGGTGGGAGGTGAGTGACACCTTTAGTCCTCTGGACTTGTGATTTATCACTGCATTGAGCAAAGTGCCAAAGCTTTGCAAACTTGTTCTTCTATATTATTCCATCCCTTTCATTTAAAGAAGAGGAAAACGAAGTCCAGATCAGCTTGGGTAACCTGAAAAGAACACTGGGTTTGGGGTCACACAACCTGCCTTTATTGCTTACTTCTTTTGTGACCTTGGCAACTAACTCATTTCTCTGCGTCAGCCTCCTCATCCTGTCAAATTACAGGATCAAATCATTGGGAGAAAGTAAGTGGGTGTGGCTCTCACCCTGGAGTTAGGAAGTCTTTGAATCCTGCCCCACACACTTACTAGCTGTGTGATGCTAGGCAAGTCATTTCGCCTATGTCTGCCTCAGTTTCCCCATCTGTAAACTGGAGATAATGATAGCACTTTCTCACAGTCATTTTGAAGATTGAATGAGATCATATTTGTAAGTGCTTTGTACCTTCAAGTGCTGTATAACTCCTGGCAATTCTTATTATCTCAAAGGACCATATATTTCAAGCCAGAAGGGACCTTCAGGGTCTTGTAGTCCAAGCCCTTCATCCTGAAGATGAGGAAACTGAGGCCGAGAGTAGTTGAGCTGGGATCTGAACTGAGGTCCTGTCTCCCACCTAGGGACTTCTTGCCTTCTCCAGGATCCAAGCTCCAGTTTGGTGACTTCCTGGCACCTTTGACTCAAGCCATTCAGCATGCATCTCGAAGGGGGCAGAGGGAGAGGGAGAGACAGAGACAGAAAGACAGACACAGAGAGAGGGGAGACCAGGAGAGAGAGTGAGGGAGGGAGAGATTGACAAGGGAGGGAAAGAGACAGAGACACATAAAGAGATCAGAGAGAGAGGGATAGGGAGAGGAAGGGGGGTAGGGAGGGAGAGAGACACAGACAGACAGATGTACAGGGAGAGAGAGAGAGAGAGAGAGAGAGAGAGAGAGAGAGAGAGAGAGAGAGAGAGAGAGAGAGAGAGAGAGAGAGAGAATGTCTCTCCACCTGTGTTGCAAGGGCTTTGGGGCAGAGGCACCCCCCTGCCAATGACCACGGAAGGTTTTCTTCTTACAATTTTGAATGTCAGGTGAGAAATGTAAGGGGTGGGGTGGGGTCAGGAATCAGGCCAGGGATCTGCAGGCTTTTGAATGTGTATAAGTGGCTTTGGAAAAGATCTGGAAGGCAGAAAATGAGAGAGAATAAGCAGGGATCCCTAAAGAGCTGCTGGCCTGCACCCGGACCATCTGCTCTTGTCGAGTGGCCCATTACCTGATTACATTAATAAGGCATCCCCAGGCCTCTTGGCCTCTGGGTAGGAAGGAGACCTAAGTAAAGGAAGAAGGACAGAACTGGTGACTGACTAGTAAAGTCTTGCTTGGGCTGCCGGTTCCACTTGTTTTACGCTTGGAGTTTCACTCTAAGCATCAGAGCCTGGACGACCCACAGTGGCCTCAGCTGCCTTGGGAGGGGCCGGCTCTATCTGATGACACAATTCTTGAGGATGTTCAAGAGCAAGGGCAGAGCCCAGACCACGGGGTCCCAAAAATCATGCCGAAAGAGCTGCGTGTCTCGACAGCCACCTTGGGATCTCTAAGGGAGAGAGTAGAGGAGGGGGGAAGACCTGAGTTGAACTCCCACCTGCAGACACTAGTGTGAGCCACCGCAGGTCATTTCACTGTCCCAGCCTCTGTTTCCTCATCTGTCAAATGGGGCTAATAACAGCCCCCCCCTTTTTTCACTGAGGGATACTACAGAAGGCCCCAAGTGTGTAAATGGTGTCAGCCCTTATTATTAACTCGGAGAGTCCCGGGAGGCGTGTCTCTTCCCGCCTAGCCATGTGGTCCTGCCTAGCCTGGCCCTTTGGGGAAACTGGGGGTGATGATGGGACACCCCAGGCGGGGCCCGGTGAGGAGGAGGGAGGCCGCCCGTACCCGAATCCTCGGCTTCTGTGGCCAGAGGCGCGGGCTTTCCCCGGCGCACGTGGCCCTCCCCCGCGGCACGTGAGTCTCGGGGGCAGCCCCGCGGGGCCCTCAGGTGAAAGTGACCGCTAATTGGGGGCAGCCGCCTCTCTCCTCTCCCCGCCCTCTGCCCCCGGCGGCTCACGAGGGGGCCGGACTAGCAGCTCGCGAGAGGGGATTTTCCCGCCCCTCCCAGGTTCGAAGGGCGGCTCTTGAGCGCCCCTAGCTCGAGGCCACGAAGGGCAAGGAGACCGCACCCCGGCGGCCGCTTCGAGGGAGGTGGCGATCGCGGGGCGCAGGAGACCCTGGCCGCCACCTCGCTTCTCCAGCGCCCCCTGGCGCCGCCCTCCTCCCCTCCTCCCCCACCCCGGCCGCCCGCCGATTCCCCCTACTCCGGCCCCCAGCCTCGCCAGCGCCCCCTGGCGCCGCGGCGGCCCGTGCCCCGCCCCCGCCCCCAGCGAGGCCCCGCCCCCTGCCGCCGCGGCTCGGCTCCTCCCTCCCTCGCAGCTCGCGAGTCCCTCAGTGTGGTGGGGCCCCTGCTCGAGGTGCGGGCTCGTCCGCCGGCTCCTCCGCAGCGGCCGCCGCCCCCGCCCCCGCCGTCAGGGTCGCGGTGTCCCTGTCGCCCCCGCCCTCAGCCACGATGCAGAAGGGCTGGAAGAAGCCCCTGAGCCCCAGGCCCCTGCCCGAGGTGACCATGGACGAGTACCTGAGCAGCTTGGGGCTCTACCGCAAGCTCACGCCCAAGGATGCCTCCTGCCTCTTTCGGGCTATCTCGGAGCAGGTACGCGCCGGCTCGGCCCGGGCCGCCCGGGAGGGGAAGCCCGCCGTCTGGGAAAAAGCGCGCCCCCCAAGACCGGCGGCCCCCCCTTTGCCCCGGCCTCCTCCCGATCCCCCTTTCCCCCCTTGTGGCGAGAAAGCTCGCGCTGTGGGAAAGAGCGCGCCCCGCAAGCCCGGTGGCCCCCCCAAGTCTCGACCCCTCCCCAAGCTCGGCTGGCCCTCTCCCCCTCCCCCCCGGCCCCCGATTGAAGAGGGAAAGCCCGCCGTCGGGAAAAGGAGCCGCCATTGCCCGGCCGAGCGTTCGTCTCCTCACCTCGACGTCCCGGCCAGTTCGGGCCCGGGCCGGGCTGGGTGGGTGTTTAGGGTTAGAGGAGGCTTTGCCCTTGGCGGCGGGAGCCTAGTCCCCGCCCCACCGCCTCCCTCTTCGGCTCCTGGTGGGTAGCCATGGCTGGGTGGGGTGGGGTGGGGAAGGGTGGCAAAGCGCCACCTGGCCGGCCCCACGGGGGTGGGGGGCGCAGTGAGCCTCCCGAGGCTGCTTGGCCGAAGTGCCGCCTGGACGGCCTGCCTTCGGGACGGCTCCCTCTACTCCCCCCCCCCCGTCCCCCCCCCAGCGTCTGCCGGGGCCCGCCATGGGAAGCCCGCCTTCGAAGTGGTCTCCTCTCCTTCAGCTGTTTTGCAGCCAGGTCCACCATTTGGAAATCAGGAAGGCTTGCGTCGCCTTCATGAGAGAAAACCGACACAGCTTTGATTCTGTAAGTGGGACAGGCAAGGGGGAGGGCACCCTCGGAGGGGGGGGTCTTCAAAAAGTCCGTCTGTTCCTCCACATGGCTCTACTTTATGAGGCTTGGAATCCTCCGTCTTTATGCCGATCTTGATGCCTAGCCTGAGATCAGCAAAAAATTCTTGGTTCATGGGTGTTTAAAAGTCAGTGTAAATAAAATCACGTTAGTAAATCTGCCCCGTTCTCTTCTTCTCAAACGATGAAGCCGAATCAAAAGTGACCCTTTGCCTTGGCGGCCTCCATTTAAATTGATAGCGGCTTGGGCTTGAGGTGCCCATGCTGTGAACTAGAGAAATGGGGAAGCACCTTGCTAGCTAGCCACCAGTGACGCACTTCCCAGGGCCCACTTTCTTGAGCCAACCTGAGGTTTTTGTAACTTCTAGGAACATCTGTATGGAGATAGGCCAATATTTACTTGTAAGGGAACACAATTCTGAACATCTGGCCTTGTACATAATAAACCGTGGTAACTGGCCCCATTCCCCTAAAGTGTCGACTAGAAGAAAACAAAAGAAGGCGCAGGTCAGCCCACTTCTGATCTATGTCCTGATAGAAGGATGCTCATTGATGGCTCTAGGAGGCTTTGATATGGATCGGGGTGTTTCCTGGGTGAGAAGACCTTTAAACTGCTTTACCATGTCTATTTGATACTCCTACTGCTTCTATAGTTTAGCAGAGAAAACCTTTGCAAAGGGGCTCTGGGAATTTTTGTTGGCTGTTGAAAATTCTGGGCATATTCAGTTAGGAGTTATATACATCTTGCCCTCTTTGGGCACAGGAAAAAGTGAAGCAGTTAGCCCTTTTGTGCATGGAATAAAATAGAACACATACAATTTTACAATTGTGTTAGGAACCCAAGTGGACCAAAAAAAAATGCAAGGAGGGGCCAAATTTTAGCCCAAGCCCTTACTTAGCTTTTAATGACACAGAACTGAAAAAACCTCCCCATGGACCAAAAGCAAAGGCCTCCTGCTTGTGTTTGGCCATTAAGGAGCAGTATAAGCATCACTATTCCTCCTCCTTCCCTTGACAGGCAAGCTCTTGGGATTTTCTCAAAGTCAGACTGATTTAAATGTAAAGCTACCTGGGCCATTTTACAGAGTTCCATCAAACCTGGACCAGGGGACATTGCTGAAGCTAATGAAAACCTGACCTAGTGCTGTAACTACTTTTAAAACAACTTGTGTCAGACCTGGGTAGAAAGGGCACTTCATTAACTGAGCCAGGCCCTGCCAACCACTAGCTGTGTGACGTTGGGCAAGTCACTCTGTAGGCCTCAGTTTCTTCATCTGTAAGACAAGAGGAAAGGATGAGCTTTCAGGTCTCCCAGACCTGGTCCTATGGCACAAGTCAGACTAAATGTTATCTTCCTGTCTTTATACTGTCTGATTTTGCTGGAAACTTCAGACCCTAAGGTTCCCTAACCGAGTTAATGAGGCCAAACTTCCCAGGCCCACTCATCAGATAGGTTTTCCAGCCCACATAGAAGTGGCCTAATGTTTATTTGAAAAATTGGCATTTTTGAGGTTATCAATAAAAAAGGCAGGCCTCTGAAGAAATGTGAAGTGCCTCCCATCTGTGAGACCGAGATGACTGACTCTGAAGCTTCTCAGGAGTCATTGCTACCACACTGACACCCCCCTCCCACTTTAACTTTTTCTAAGTACTCCATGAGATGCTATCACCTCTTATTAGCTCCAGGACTGTGGGGCTGAGCAAACTGAATGCATTTTAGGAGTTGAAATGCAGACCAGCATTAACTCTTGCTTAGGGTTTGCATAGTGTAATATTCAGTACTAGTAGTGAATGTTGTAGAGCTGGTTAAAGTTAAATTTGTTTTATTTTCAAAGTACGTGGAAGGGTCTTTTGAAAAGTACCTGGAGCGGTTGGGAGATCCCAAGGTAAGGCCAAATATTGCTCTCCCAGCTTTGCTATTCACTGGGCCCTTGAAAGGTTGGAGGGCGGGCATGGGGCGGGGAGGAGAGTGCCAGAGCCCGAGCATTCCAGCTCTGGCCCTTTAAGGAAATATGTAGAGGCTCTTAAAAAAAAAAAAAAAACAAACAGCTGTTGGAATCAAATGTATTTCTTGGAAAAATTTTAAGAAGTTGACAGCTGACCTAATTCAATTGTCCTGTTTTGAGAATTTATTAATATAAAAGTCCCTTAGTGTATAGGATTCAGAATAGCTTTTAAAAAAAATCTATCTTGAATATATTCAACTTGACTTGATAATTGAAAATAACGTCCTAGGGAGGTGTTTGGGCCTTTCATCATGGTAACTTCTTCATAACTGGAAAACGTTAGTGGCCAGAGGGCGGCAATCCCTTCCCCTTGCTGGGTTTCCGTTTTCTGGACTACTAGATGGATGACTTCTAAGGATTTTCCCACCTCTAAAATCTCTCATCCTAGCACCCACCTCCAAACTTGCAGCCCTACGCTCAGCTTCTAGTACATTCTCAATGAGCAAAAGCGGGATTTAGAGTTGGAGGGTTGTACCAAGAGTCTCAAAATAGTTCACTCTGAGGGAGGGGCTTTTAGCTGCAAAGTGCTTGAAAAACCATAGCCAACCAAAGGCTGTATGTCCTGTTTCTCCATAGGAAAGTGCTGGCCAACTGGAGTTAAGAGCCCTTTCTCTCATTTATAAGTAAGTTTCTGCCCCCCCTCCTTTCTGATTCCTGGCACATGGGAGATTTTTGGATTGGTGATCACCCTAGTGGGACCCCAAGGCACCCCAGTTACCTCGGTCTGGCCTCTGGGGTCTTCTCATGGAGTTCATTTGCCATTTGGGGGTAATGGGATAGACTTGGCTTCTCAGGATGGGAAAATGCATCTTTTGGGGGGAGCTGGAGGGTTCCAGGGCTAGCTTAGCGCCTAGCCCTCTACACTTGTATCCCTGTAATCTTTTTGTTATTTTTAAACCACGCAATATAGATTTTCAGATCTATGGGTTATGGGTCTTTTTTGGCTGGGGACAAGGGGGGGTGTAGGATATCTCCTGTTGAAGGGCATGACATTCTGTGCCAGTCTCACGATTTACAGTTCTTATGCATTGGTCAAGTACATAAGTACATACCTCCCGGGTCTAGTTACAGCCCCCTGCGATGGCCTGGTGCCCAGGCTAATGCTTTGGGCTCCTCCCTTCTCCCAAGCTCCTGGCACCGCCTGGGAGGGGGGAGTGAGATCCTGGCTCTGCTACCTTACTAATATAAGCAAGCACATATTTGGGAAGCACTCACTGGGGACCTTGCACCGTGCTAGGCTTCTACCCTCCAGGACCTCGTCCATCTTGTTTTGGGGGAGGGGGAGAGAGATAACCATCCTCCTTAGCTCTGTGACCTTGGGTAAGTCACTCTGCCTCTGTGGGCCTCAGTTTCTTTATTAAAATGGGGAGGAGGGCTGGAGAATATCTGTGGTCTCTTATAGCTCTAAATTGTGTGATAAAAGAATCTGGCTTATTTAAAAGAAAACCTTTTTCTCCGAAAGGCCCACCAAACCCCTGCATAGAGCACTACTTTTCCCCTCCCAGCCGCCAGCTGGCCTTTTTTTGGTCGATGCTTTTCCCTTTGGAGGTGGTCCTTGATAGTCATCACATTCATTTTCGTCAGACTGTAACTGTATGAAGGTGTGTTGAGCCAGAGGCAGTTGGTCGCACAGTGTGATTGGCCCAAGTCCCTACACTTGCCTTGGGTCTGGCATGGCTAGTATTCCTTAGATGAAAGCCTGTCTAGCTCACAGAAATGAGAACCTTCAGCCTAGGAGAATTTTGACCTTGGGGAGGTGAGACAACTTTCATGGATGTCCCAACAAGGCAAGCTTGGAGTCTCAAAAGAGGTGCTCAATGGGATACAGAGCTCCCTGCTGTCAGAGGGGACAAGCTTGGGGCCTTTAAAATTGTGTCTCCGGGATCTATCAGGCTTGAGAGCAGATTGTTGGGGATCTAGCAAGGGGAGGGGGAAGTGTCCCCTTTGAGATTGGGGCAAGGGTCCAGATGAGTCCATGATTAAACCTTGGTAAGAGCAGTATGGTGCAGTGGAAATCATGCTGCTTTTTGAATGTGTATCTTGGCTGGGTCATCTACTCCCTACATGGCCCTTTCCTACCATGGGCCTTGGTTTGCTCCTCTGTGGAATGAGGTGATTGGACTAGATGACGTTGAGGGGCCCTTCCAGCTCTAAATCTGAAGCAACTCTGAGACCCTGGACAAGTCCTTTGGCCTTTGAGTTTCAGTTGCTTCTCCTTTAAAATGGAGGTGTTGGACTACATGACCTTGAGGTTCCTTGGCCCCTTCCAAATCTGTGAGCCCAAGATTTGGCATATTTGAGCAATTACTAATAATCTTGTCCCACAAATCGAGGCCCCGGAGCCCCTTCTGTTGTCCAGGGGTCTTGGGTCATCTGGACCCTTGTACCCCCCAGTCCCGTGGAACATTTAGGAGGATCTAATTTGAAGGGACAACTTCATGGGGCCCTCGCATCCCTACTCTTGTGTTGGGTACGCACAAACATCAGTGTGTGTGTGTGTGTGTGTGTGTGTGTGTGTGTGTGTGTGTGTCTTTGTGTCTTTGCTTTGTCTCGGGGAAGTTGTAGGTGGGCACACTCATGCTTGCACACACACTCCTGAATGGTCAGATATGCTACATTTTCCTCCCAATTAGGATACTTGAAAGGCCCTATAGGCCTTCAGGGACAGTCAGCTCTCAGATACTGCCTGCCTTGGCCATTTAGGAGCATGGCTTTGTCTAGTGCTAACCCCTTGAAATGGGTTTTGCTATTTCTTGATGGCATCTGACTTAAGGGAGAGAAGTACAACAGAGCAAACAGTTTTTCTCCAGCCAAGTTGCTGCTTTGATGGCCTGGAGCCACTTTTGCTTATGTATAATAATAAGTCCTTGTGTCTGTGTAGAGCACACCATGAGGGTTCTCCTTTCACCCCTTCCTCCTTCCATTTCTCTGCCCATCCAGTCGAGACTTCATTCTCTATCGGCACCCTGGGAAGCCTCCGACTTATGTCACAGATAATGGCTATGAAGACAAGGTAAAAACTGGAAATGAGGGTGTCCTTGTTTTAGGGAGAAATGGATGTGATACTATAGGCTAAGGAATAAAACCTTTTTGGAAATTTGGTAAACCTGCTTTAGGTACATGTGATGAGGGTTGAAGGGCCAGGACAGTCATTGAAGATGGCTCCATTGACGTCTTTTTTTCCCCATATGGAATTGTTTAAGACAAGCTAGTTTATCAAGTCTAGTTAGAATGTTCCATTGGATAAGTGTCTGAAATGAACCTGCCTTCCATTTTGTTAGAGGAAGGTGGGGGCGGCAGTGAGGGCAGAGCTGGCCTTGGTGCCACCTTCTCTGCCATCTTGGAGACACCTTTCCATTTTCCAACCTAAGTAGAGAGACTTTCTTTCCCTGGGAGTGCCCGGCCTAGACTGAGGTCCTGTCCCTATCGCTATCCTTAACGTTCTAGTAAGGAGTGAGGCTCATTCCTTAAAGTGATCGAAAGTAAGACCATTAGGGCTCTGGTTATAGCTTCATAGCATTGTGAAGACAAACCCAAGGCAAGCACGATTACCAGAATTGTGTGTGGGCTTTTTTTTGACTTTGTGAAGGGAGCCTTTTAGTTTCTTCCCGTGATTATACCTAGCCTGAGAAATAGGAATGGAAGATTATAGACTGTTGCTTTCTTCTGAGGTCCCTAGACTTGAGGAGGGAATGGGAATTTTGATTGGAGGTTAGGAAGAGGGCAGGAGATCCAGGGGCCCTGGGGGGAGGACAGATGTGGGTGGAATGCTGCATTGGGGGGGGGGGAGTTTGGACTGCCTGAAGATGGCTGACGGGGGAGGGGAACATGTGCATCTACCAAGAGGTGAGTGAGAGCCTAGAGGGCCTGGGCATGACATTGGTGGGGGCCCTCCCACTGCCCCTCCCAATATTTAATGCTTTAGAAGACGGCTTCACTTCCCAGCCACCTCCACCCTAGTCCCTTAACACTGAAGCCAACACTTGGCATAGCATTTCAATCAGGGTGAACCAAGTCAAGCTAGATTTGTTACAGGCAAGCAGGGAAGAATGTTTGGATTACAGAGACAGCTTGACCTTTTGAATTGCCATTTTGAGAAAGTCAGGGGGTTGTGAAAGCTGATCATAAAAAAGTTACCTATTAATTTCCTAAAAGTCTCCCAGAGTAAAGGTTTGAGAAGTTACTGAAGGCCTGGAAATCTCGATGTGTCCTCTGCTCTTGGATTTTGGGGGATTAGCGGCCCAGTTGCCAGTATGTATCTTCCTGGACATTTGACTTGCCTCCTGGCCTTCATGAAAATCCAGTATATCCTAGTAGGAAGTGGAGGTTTGGGGGCCTCAGCTTTGGTCAAACTTTCCAGTGGAGTGTCATCTTTTTGATACACACAGACACCTACACATACACACACACAATGACAAGTGTTGCAGCCCTCTGAGAGCAGTTGGTCTGGCGCATACCTGAACAAGGATGTTGTCTTCCATTCTCTTTGATAAGTGGTCCTTTGGCTTCTGATGATGGGGAGCCCAGTAGCTCATAAGGCAGCCCTTTCCACTTTTAAACAGCTTGAATCATTAGCAAGCTGGTTCTCAATTTTGTATTTTCCCAGACATTGTCCAAAGTTCTGTCTACTGGGGCCAAGTTTGATTTGGCTGGCCCATGTGACCACTCTTGTGTCTCACCTGCCCTAGAAGTCTTCTGTTTAGACTAAACATCCTCAATTCCTTTAACCAATGGAAAAGTTGCTGGATTTGGAGGCAGGAAATGTGGGTTCAAAAGTCTGGCCTTAACCATGTATGCAGCTTTGGGTGCAAATCCTGTGACCTCTCTGGGGCTCTGTTCCCTCTTCTGTAAGATGAGGGCATTAGAATCTAAGAGAATCAATTCAGAGGACAGGATCTTGAGGCCATTCACAATCCTGGTGACCCTTCTCTGGACACTTGCCTTCTTGCCAATGGCTCCCTCAGTTTAAAACCCCAATCTGTGTGGGTCATAGAGGCTCTGATGAGGGCCAAGAGTAGATATTAGCTGTGCACTTCCCTAGTCTTGTGCTCCCCCTTTCTTAAGCAACGTAAGATCATGCCAGCTTTGGGAGGCTGTTATGTCATCCTCGACTCACTGAGACCCTCAAATCTTTTTTTTTTTTTCAGATAAACTGATATACTGATGTCTGCCTCCCCCCATTTGTGTTGTTTTCAAAAAAATCCCTAGTGGTTTGGTCACAATAGCCTCATTTAATTTTATCGTGTTAGATTTGGTGAGCTCTTCGTTAATCTTAACTTGCTTCTAAAGTGCTAGCCCTCCTTCTCAGCTTCATCTTTGTGTAAACTGGCAAATTGTGTCATCTGTGCCTTTATTTGAATCCTTGATAAGAATGTTAATAGCACATGGTCAGACAGATCCTTGAAAGAGTCTACTAGAGATATAGCCTTCCAAGTTGACATTGACCTATGCATTACTGGTCTTCTTTGGGTCTGGCCAGTTGGCCAGTTCCACATCTATCCAGCTCTCTAGTTCACAGCTCTTAATCTTTAATGTCCACAAAGGTATGAGAAACTTCATCAGATGCTCTCCTATAGCCCAGGCTATACAGCATTCTCCTGGTATATTGGAATTGACAGGCTGATGGGGATCCTTGGGCATCTTGAGCTCTTGGGAGGCCAAGACTGGGTTTTGACTGGGTACATACAGCTTCTGTTCTGAAGACTTGGTAGGAGCTTGTCTTGAGGTACAGTGTTGTCATTCTACCAAAAGGTCTTTCATTGCATGGCCTTCCCAGAAACTGCTGTAGGCTTTGGGGCCAGTGGTGGCTGGCTGAGTGTGATGTGGAATTAATGCAGTCGTGCTACATGTATACTCTTCCCCCTCCCCCCTTTAGATCATGCTCTGCTGTTCCAGTAATGGGCATTATGATTCCGTGTACACCAAGCAATTTCAGGCTGATGCTGCTGTTTGCCAGGGTACGTAAAGGCTTTAGTGAGACCTCGGTCCCTTTTCCCTTTGTTTGCCAAGGGGGGAGGCAAGTCCAACGGATGGTGCCTGGAAAGTGATGCTGGCCTGAGTGGCAGTAGTGCTTGTGCTGGGGGGAGGCGTGATGCTGACAATGAAAGGGATCTGCTCCTTCTCCCCTCTCAGCTGTACTCTATGAGATTCTCTACAAGGATGTATTTGTTGTGGATGAGGAAGAGTTGAAAACTGCCCTTGAGATATTCCGTGGCATTGCCAGGAGGAACAGAAACAGCATCTCCACGGGGAGTGATGACAGGTCGGGTCTCTATGGTTCATTTTGTACTAGTCATAGTCATGCCCCTTCTTTCAAAGAGAGGGAAAGGGGACTCCCTGACCTTGTTGTTCCTGGGATTTCCTGCCTGAGCAAGAAGCTGCTGGCCAGTCTGTGGCTTAGCAGAGTGATCTTCCCCCCCCTGAGGAGGATGACTTTTTATGTTAGGGGGTCCCAAGATGGTTCCAGGGGCTCTCACAGTAAGGAGTGGGAAGATAGGCCTTCGTTCAAATTCTGGCCCTACCACACACTTGCTGTGTGACTTGGGGCAGCCACAGCCTCAGTCTCCTTCCGTGTAACATGAGGTGATCAGACTCCGTGGCTTCTATGCCTCTTTGTAGCTGTGTTGACTTTCCAGCTGTGATAGACTGTCCCACCCTCAGACCCTGTCCTGGGGTTCCTGTGGTTTGTCACTAGGTGGTGCCACAGTCCTTGGGGTGGTGCTGAAGACTTGACTCTTCTTCTTGCTGGAGAGCCAGCAGGTGGCACCGTACACCATGGCTTCCACTTAGACGGTGAGGCTTGCTCTTCCTTCGCGCTGACAAGCCTAACTGGACTTTATCTTTGCTGATTGAGCAGGATGGACGATTGGGGCCTGAGCACTACCAGTGGCCATGAGCACCTCTCTGATAGGTACAGGCACGGAGCAGAGGAAGGAAAGGTTGGTTACCCGACGTAAAGCCTCTGGTCGGCCTTCTTTGGTTGACGTTCCTTTTCTCCTCAGGATCATACTTGGCTTGAGACTCCACCCTTTACTGACCTTTCAGCCTCCAAACCTCTACTTTATTGTTTAAATTAAAAAAAAAAAGACTTGGGGACAAACCCAGGGTTCCCCTGGCCCTGTAACAAGCGTTTTTGAAACTCCTTTCTAAAATCAATCGAAAAGCCTCATTATAAATGCAGCTAACCCCCAACTTTATCACTAGAACCTTTGTAATTAAAGCTTTTCCATTTATCTTCCACAGCTCTGCTTTCTATGCTATTCTAGAATCCCAATCTAGAAAATTCTAGAATTTGCTCTTTGTTTCCTGAAGCTCCATTAGATACTCCTCTTCAAGCCTTCTCCCAGTAGGGCATCATGGCACAGTGATTTGGAGTCTGGGGGTGGGGTCACATCTCAGCACTATTATTGACTGTCCATGTGACCTAGGCCACCTTGACCTTCCTTGGGCTCAGTTTTTCCTTTTGTTAAATGAGGGGATTGGGTTAAAATCCCTACCACTTTCATGAGTGGCCTTGGACAAGTTACAACTCCTGTCTGGGCTCCCTTTACCCTTTCTCTAAAACAAGGCCATTAAAGTAATCCCTTCTAGCCTTAATATTCTGTGACAGGACTCTTTGGGTGATAACTGTTACCTCTCTTTTCTGGGCCTCAGTTTCTTCCTTTTGTAAAAACAAGGGGTTAGACCAAATGTTCTTTGAAGTCTCTTGAAGCTTGAATATTTGGTGACCAAGAGCAAATCACTGCCCCTGTCTGGGGCCTCCTTTTCCTTCTCTGTAAAGTGTTGGGCTTTGAATGAAGTCCCCAAATGCCCTTCCACTCCACATCTGTGGATATCTTTGGTATCCATGGCCAAGTAGCGAGTGACCTTAGAGATAATGCAGTAGGCCCCAGAAAAGCCTTGGTGTCGGTATGGAATGAGGCAGCAAATCTAAATGCTGACTTGCCAGGGTGTGTTGGGCTAGCCAAATGGAAAGGGAGGACTTGCCACCTTTTGGTGTGTGGGCCAGCGACCCGAGTGGACCCCAGTGTGGCTCTCACTCTCCATCCTCAGCTGCTTCACGTGGCTGCCTTTGGCCTCTCTTTGAGTGTCTGGGTGTCGGTATGCAGAGAGCCTCTCCTTTTAAAGGAACAGTAAGGGGAAGATGTGCACTACCTAGACATTTGCCCTAGAAACTGGGACAAACAGGATGTAGAGGGAGTTGATGGCTTCGAGTGGTCAGCTCAAGTTATTTGGAAATCTTGTTTCAGTTTGCAGATAACCAGTCCAAGATGCCTTTGCCTTACAAAGTGATGAAAGCTCTGGCCCCAGAGGTCTACCGCAACGTGGAGTTTGATGTTTGGCTGGACAGTAGGAAAGGTGGGTACCCTGGGCACCCTCTTCCCCTCCAAGGCCTGTGGGCTTCCCCTTAGCTTTGCAGCAGCCTAATCAGGGAGGCATTGCAAGGATGCCTACCTCCATTTAGACCCCTCAGGTCTAAACCTGAGGAACCTATGATCAGAATTACCATTGCTTTTTTCCCCCCAATTTTATTAATTTATTTTGATTTATCAACAATCACTTCCATATGCTTTTGAGTTGAAAATTTTTCTCCCCCTTCCTCCTCCCCACCCTCCCCAAGACGGCACACAATCTGATATAGGCTTTACATTTGCATACCCATTAAACATATTTTCACATTAGTGAAGTTGTAAGTAAAAATTAAAACCAATGGGAGGAACCATCAGAAAGAGGAAACAGGGCAGCTAGGTGGCACAGTGAATAGAGCGCTGGCCCTGGATTCAGGAGGACCTGAGTTCAAATGCGACCTCAGACACATAACACTTACTAGCTGTGTGACCCTGGGCAAGTCACTTAATCCCATTGCCTATCAAAAAAAAAAAAAAGAAGAAGAAACAAAACTCAACAGAAGAGGAAAAAAAAATAGCAATTCAACTTCCATAGTTCCTTCTTTGGATGTGGATAACATTTTCCATCCCGAGGCCTCTGTAGATGTCTTAGATCCTCGTATTGCTGGGAAGGGTTAAGTTTATCAATATTAGTTATCACACAACATGGCTGTTATTGTGTACAAAGTCCTCTTAGTTCTGCTCACTTCACTCAGCATCAGACCATATAAGTCTTTCCAGGTTTTTCTGAAGTCAGCCAGTTCATCATTTCTTATAGCACAATAGTATTCCCTTACATACATATACCACAACTTGCTCAGCCATTCCCCGCTTGATGGGCATCCTCTCAATTTCCACAGAATTACCATTTCTTAGTCCCCCATGCACAAAAAGGGCTGAGCCAACTGGAGAGACCCCAGAGGGGGCCAGTGGACTGGAGACAGCTACATTGCTTCCATCTAACTTTTTTTCTCTGTTTCTTCATTTGCTTTGCAGAGCTTCAGAAATCAGACTACATGGTGTTTGCTGGGAGACAGTACTTTCTGGGAGACAAGTGCCAGGTAGGTTAGCACCATCCTCCACAAGCAGCGGGCCCTCTGTCACTATCAGGCTTTTGGCCTGTCCAAGGGCCAGTTGTTGTGCTCAGAGCCCTACCTGTCTTCATGCCACCTCTGCTGTCAGTGGGTGATTAGAGAATGTGTCCAGTTTACCAGCTAAGCTAAGAGCTCACTGATCCAACTGGACTGAGCTGGGCATCATGAAAGGAGTGGAAGCCCTGCTACCTCAGGGCCTTAAGGCCGAACTGAAGGTTCACTCATCACTAAATTAAAGGATCACCTAGAATTGGGGAATCAATTGCAGGGCCCTTGGCCCAGTTTCTCACTTTCAGATGCTTGAACCACGTCCATGATGGAAAATAACATCAATTCCTTCTTTCTCTTCATCTTATTGGCCCTGTTTATTCTTATCAAACCTCAACAGCCTGTCAGGCCCCCTGTGGTGAGCCCTGAAGGACAAGCGCCTAACTTGGGCCCAACACAGATGCTTTCTCTTCCACATCTGCCTTCTGTTTCCAACTCTCTCCCCAATGTGCAGCTGGGTCCTGAGTGGCATCCCTGGGCTGGGCCTGCTGGGGCAGAAGGGACCAAAGCTCTAGCTATCCATGCCTGAGACTGGTCCCATCCGCCTTTCCTCTTCAGGTTCGATTAGAGCCAGGCGGGCGGTATTACAATGCACACATCCAGGAAGTCGGCAATGACGACGCTTCAGCCACGGTCTTCATCGAGGAGCTTGCAGAGAAGTGAGTGGGCAGCCTGGGGCCAGCTTTCTACCCTGCAGTAGCAGCTACTCACTGACATTCAGTACCACACATTGGCCCAAATACTTAAAAGATCTTTCCTCAGTTGAGGTCCCTAACAACTCTTTGAGGTAGCTTGCACCGATATTGTTAACGCCATTTTACAGATGGGTAAACCAAGCCATAGTGAGGCGCTTGCCTGTGACACACAGCTAGTGAATGCCCAGGGCGTGATTTTGAGCCCAGGCCCCCTGAGATTCCAGTCCAGTATTGTAGCCACTGAGTTATGGCCAAACATTCTTGTTCTCTGAGCTTATCTCTACAGAGTTGGCTTCCTCTGCCCAGATTCCCCAAACTGCTGCTTTTTAAAGTTGGGAGTGCCCAGTGGACTGATTGGCCCCTACTTTCCAATGGGCAGACACTTTATAAGCACCTACTACCCATGTATGAAGTCCCATGCTAGATACTGGGGGTGGAATGTAGGCATCACAGCCTCCCACAAGCTCTGCCCTCCTGGCGCTTATGTTCTATTGACCAGCAAGGGAGGAGGAGAAGCATAGGCAAGGCCTTGCGTTCAGCACTGGGGACAAGATGGCACTTGAGTGAGCCCTAGCCCCTGCTTTCCCAGGGCTTAGACCCGATTTTGGATGGTGAGAGACCTGGAGCTTCTCCAAAACTGTCTCAGTACAAGCCTGGTCTCACAACAGCAGATACCGCACACAAACAAGTTGGGGCTATGAAATCTTCTGAGATTTGGTTAGGAGGGGATTCTGGCTGTCCATTTGTGCCCCGGTAGTAATGATTCCACACACAAGAACTTAACCCTTACTGCATCTGAGTGCCATGTTCCGTACCCAACATATGTGCTGCTTTGGAAAAGAGCCTTTCTTCTGAGGAGCACAAAGGCTTTTCTGGGCAGTCAAGGTGGGAAATAAGACTTCGGGGAGAGGGGTAGGCAAGTGAATCGGCAAAGGGGCTCCCCCTCATTGTGCCACCCTCCCTTTCTATCAGGCATGTTGTTCCGCTGGCTAACTTAAAACCAGTGACTCAAGTGACACCTGTCTCTGCCTGGCGTGTGCTTCCTAGTAGAAGAGGAGGAGGAGGTGGCAGCGGTGGAGGAGCAGCAGGAGGAATGTACCCCAAGATTATGGGTGGCTATATTCCAGAAATGGGTTTGTATCTGAAAGACTTGTCTCACTCCTCCCTACATTGTTTCCTTAACATATCACTTCTTTCCTTTCCTGATTGTTTTGCAAGTGATTTAGAGGAGCATAGTGGCCCAGATTTCTGTGTTGGGGACCTTTCAAATTAGAACTTGGTGAAAGCCCAAATCTTTGAACAGTGTCTGGGTTGGCTGCCAGGCATGGTGCTGGGCCCTGCCCACACTGAGCTTAGACTGGGGGGGTGGGAGGTATCATGGGACAGAGGTTCTTGTCTGAGCCCACCTTTTCCACTCTTACGTGGCAGACTTGGATGTGAAGGGGAGGAAGAAGATGCTGAAGAAGGTTCGTGGGAAGGAGGTTTTCATGACGGTGGCTTACAGCAGAGGGGAGCACATGCTCCCCCCCCGACTCCAGCACAGCTTCCATGCTGGCCGCACCTCTCCAGCCCAGTGTCCTCCCCAACACGCTGGTGCCTTGGTGGCTTATGAGCAGTTCCGTCCCCAGCAGCCGCCACCTCTGAGACACGGACGGGGCTATGGCATTTCTAGGTAAGGCCTGGTGACCCTCTGTTCTGTGAAGCCAGGAGCTGCCTGACCTGCCAATCACCCAGTGGGACCACTGAGGACCTCTTGAGCTCCTTTGTACTGTCTTTCCTTTTTCTCTTTTAAACAGTTCTGAACTTGGCAGTCATAACTAACATGAGCGCAGTAGAACAGGGAGAGGGGGCCATGGTCGGGACTGTATGAGCTGTCTTGTCCTGCCTCTTAGGTGTAGAAGAAATCCACCAGATCACTTTCAAAGCTGACCTGCTTGTCTGTGCTTCCTTCTCTTCTGTGCATTTCAAAAACATGGTCCTCCCTCCTTTTCTGCCTAGCTCCTACTCCCCCAAATTGAGAAAAACGACCAGTGAAGGCGTGGTGCTGAGTAGTCTGCATGGGCATGTGGGAAGAATCCTCATGGTAGCCAAGCCCCCCCCCCCCGATATTTGGCTGTCTGCATGTCTGTTGGGGAGTGGGCACCTTCCATCCTCACTGGGGCGTACTGCGTCATCCTGCAGAGGGGGTTGTCTTGTACATTGTTCTCTGGCTTCTGCATGCTTCCCTAGGTGTCCTGATTAGCTTTCTCACTTGACTTGCCTTAGAGATGTGTGCCCAGGGTGAGTAGAGGGGCGAGGGCACTTTGTGTGCCAGATGGCTGCTTCAGAGAAGCTTTGCCAGCAGTAGCCCAGCAAAATAGGGAGGCATAGAGAAGGTGCTGAGCAGGGAATCATGTTGGCAAACTGTGGTCATGCAACAAGCCCTCGCGTGGAGGTCCCCTGGGTGCACAGCAGTGTGGATGGGACCTCGTGGCCCCTTTAGGGGCTCACTGACTGCCCAGGTCCTAGGTTTTGCTGAGGATGTTCAAAGCCCGATTTTTTTCTGTGTAACTGCTAAGACACATCGTTGGCAAAGTCAGCAGTGAGCATCAGTCAGTGTCTCTTTGCCCTTTGCTCACAGAGGAGGAACACCTCGATTTATGAATAGAAACAATGTGGTCAATCCTGAAGTTACCTTCTATCCTGGGCCAGGGAAGAGATGCTATCAGAGCTATGACAACTTCTCCTTTCGGTCCCGGTAAGTGTGAACATCCTAGGGAGAGGAGGAAGGAAGTTCAGACAGAATGTGGGGAGCTTCCTTGGGAAGCAGCAAGTCATATTTTTAAAAAATTGCTGAGTTTTTGGAAATGGAATTGAATAGGGGAAATGGAGTTCTCCCTGCTACTGCTCTCTCCTCCCTTCCTTCCCAAAGTTCTTACAGCCGGAGCCGCCGGCAGATGCACTGTGTGAATAAGGAATGTCAGTATGGCTTTTCCTCCGAGCCCGGAACTACCCCTCGGGGCCTGGAGGAAACAATCACCTACTATGAAATTGAAGAAGGCGATGAGACTGCCTACCCAGCTATAGCGGTGAGTGGTTCTTTCCTCACTAACTTGACCTTTGGAGGGGTCACTGGCCAGCCTTGGGAGTCATCGCCTTAGAGATGGAAAGCAACCTCGAAGGTTGTCTCATCTGTACAGAGACCTAGAGAGATGTACAGATGGGAGGGAGTCAGCAGGCCTGGGACCCAAGGCCAGGTCCCTGGACTCCACTTTGGTGGGGAGGTGGATGTAGCTAGAGACTTTGGCTAGGTACTGATGGGCTGGAACATGGAACTGAAGCTAAGAAGATAATAAAATTCACTAGGGATAAGTGTCCAGTCCAACACTTGGCTTCAATTAACTTTACTGGGGCGGGATGGGAGAGGCATGTGTAGACAGCAGTTTGTCTGAAAAAGAGCTGGGGCTTTTAGTGGACAGACAACTTAGTCATATTCAGCAATGTAATGTGTCAGCCAAGGAGGCTAGTTCAATCTTGGGCTGTGTTAAGAGGGCCGGGGCCTCCAGAAATAAGGAGAGGATACTCCCTCTGGCTTTTGCCCTGGCCAGCTTGCTCCACCACAGAAGGAGGGCAGCCTGGCTTATGGAGGGCCTTCGGTCCCTGCCATAACAGGAGCCAGGGCTGTGCAGCCTAGAGAAGAGAAGATTGCGGATGGCAGGCAGTGGTTTGCAGGGAGGAGGCCCTTTTCAGGTGGGTGTCAGGAAGAACTTGTGAATTGGAGCTGTCTCCAAGTGGAACCCCCACTTCCTGGAGGTCTTTGAGCAAAGGCTGAATGGCTTTTGTCAAATACACTATAGAAGGGGGACAAGCTGGACCGGGCAGCTGCTGAGGGCCCTTCCAAGGCCCAGGGCCACAAGGCAGGGCTCCTTGCAGCAAAGCCAATGACAGCCACCCTTAGCCCACCTTTCTGTAGTGGACGCTTCACTGAGTTGCCATGACCCAAAGCATCACCTGGTGAGGCAGGGGGTTCCTCTGACCTTGGCCAGGCTGGTCATCAGGCAAATTGAGCTACACACTCGGTCTGGATTCCGTTTCCCAGGTGTGTGCATGGCCTTCAGTAAGGGCTCCTCTGCTCCCTTGTAACCGAGCGCAGGTTGGGGTAAGGTCTTCTAAACCCAAAGGCCTGAGGAGGGAATTGTGTTCATCTGCAGACCAGCCTTTCCTAGGTCAGAGAGGTAGCCACGTCAATAAGGGAAGATGGCACGGCACTTTTTATGCCCCAGATAAAGGTGCACCTGCTGTGCTCCCACTTAGGTGTGTTTTCTGGTTTCAGCCTCAGAATGCCCCATCACCAATGGTCCCTCCTCCTGCTGCTGGGTTCTGGGTAGCAAGGCAGGGGCCCAGTCCTATGGCTTCAGGCAAACCAGCTGTGACTTCATCCGAAGAAGAGGTAGATGAGCCCAGTGACAGTGGTGAGTGTCTCGTGGTGGCTGCCGTGGTGTCCTGCTTGGCTGTGCTTGCTTGCCCTTGCTCCTGAGGCATCCAGATATTTCTTGGAGTGGGCAGAGCCAGTCATTTTATTAGGAAAGAAGAGGCAACTGAATGAGCAGCAGTGGAGTGGCATTGACTGCCCCTTGCACTGTGCTGCCATCGCTGCTTCTGAGGAGCTCCCATACTCCCCGATGTGGATAGATGTCCCAGCTCCCTGGAATCGGGGGTGGACCTAAGGTTAAGAAGTGAGGGAGTGGTGCCCACTGAGCCTCACTGTGTTGGGACCAGGTCCTAGCAACACCAGCCTCGTTTCCCTTTTTGTACAGAGTTAATTATCCAGAAATGTTAGTCTGGTATCTAAGATCTGGGGAATGCTAGAACTAGAGTTCCTCGGGTTGTTTTTTGGGAGGGGGGCAGGGCTGGGACTGGACCCCTGGACTTGTATGGGGAAGTCCTGGAGAGCAAACCCCTTCACCAGCACAGGTCAGTTCTTATTTGGCGTCTGCGTAACCTTAGAAGATTGCCTGCAGTGACGGGGGGGGGGAGGGTGGGGGGGTATGCCCCAAATCCCACGGCCAGCTCTTGTCTTGTTAGATGTAGGTCTTGAGCCCAGCTCTTTCTTCCTGAGGCTGGCTTCTACCTACCATGTCACATGGTTTCTTGCTTACCTAGATTTGAGCAAAACATTTGTCAGTCCCTTGTATTTTTCCTATGAACAAAATGCAGAGGTGTGGGCTAGACAGCCGTTAAATTAGAATTTGAAAATGGTTCAGTGATCAGACCCAAAGAGTAGTCATGAAGGGGTCAGTGCCAGCTTGGAAGGAGCTCTCTAGTGGGATGCCCCAGGTGTCTGTGCTGTTCAGCTTTTTTGTAAGAACTTGGACACAGGCATGGATGGCAGGCTTAAAAAATTAGTTGGTGCCACTAACTAATTTCTGGGAAGAAGATCGCTAAGTAGATGTTGTGTAGAGGATTGGGTGTATGTGGATTGGGTATCCAAATGGGTATCTGGGTTATGGGCTTCTGTTTTGTTCCATATGCCCAATTTGATGGCAAATGGTTAAATTTTGGATTGTGAGTCCAAAGAATTTGGCTGACCAACCCCCAGTGGTAGTCACGTGTAATAATGGCTTTTGCAGTTGTGTGTCCACCCAAAACCAAGGTCGAGGTCACAAGTGTGTGCCTTGAACGAAGCTGGCAAACATGTAAGATGGAGCTTGGCCCTCTGGCATTCCTCAATCGGAATTCGGGATCGTAGTTGGAAAGGAAACCTGGAAGCAGCTGCCATGCTGTTGGTTCTCTGGGATCCTTTGCGGTTGAGGGATTCTCAGAGGAGCAGCGCCTTTGCTTCCAGAACAGCCAGTGGGTGACAGGAAGTGCCCTGATGGTACTCTGCTGCCATCTGTTGACCCATGCCTGGTCAAGAAGCTTTCGTTCTCCTTTTTTTCCCTAGGTGAATATCACGACGACTACGTTTATCCAACAGGTCGGTTATCCTTGATCTTTTGTTCCTAGCTCACAGAGTGGTCCGTTACGTCATGGGATAGTATACTCACTGGGGGCTTTCACTTTACCCCTACCCTGTAGACCCAGACTATGAAACTCCATCGGTTTATAGCACTGCGGAATCAACTGCTAACCTGGTAAGTTGAAATCCCGTGGCCCACAAGTGAAGCTGCCTCCCAGCTTCGGAGATAGGAGCATTGGTAGGAGAAGTCCGAGCCTCTCAGGCAGGGCCAACTCAGACGAGCATCCTGTGCTCACTCTTGTGTGCATCTTTTACTGTCACAGCTGACCCTTATGCTGATCCCAGGTTCACACACTTGTAAGGGTGTCTCATCTTCTTGGCCCAAGTGAACCCAGGGAACTTGGGAGCGTAAAAAGATCGAGTACATCTGGCAATTGATGACCTCATAGGTCCAAGCCCAGTGCAGATTCCAAAAGGCAGAAGTGAGGCATACTGCATCATGTTTATAAGCTGGCGAGACCATAAAAGATTTCCAATTCCATGTGAACGGGCTCTGTTGGCACCAGTTGGCATGAACCCCATACAATCCAGACTAGCGAAGAGATAGTGGCTGCGTCTCCAAGGTGTGGTCCGGTCTGGGGCCCAGAGGCCAACAAGCGAGTTAAGCCTGTGCCAAGGAACACTAGAAAAGGAGCCAAGGCCAAGGGAAAGAATAAGGGCAAGGTTATGAACTTAAGAGTTGAAATAAGTAGCAGACAAAAAGCTGCTTGGTCGAAAAAGCCAGTTCCCAGTTTTATTTAGAGACTGTTAACGTTTGAGAGCGAGACCTCATAGGGAGAGGGCTGCTGGTGCTAGAGGCATGGGCAATGCCCACACAGCTCGGAGATGACAATGTGCAGATACATTACTGATCCACGTGGCTGGAGGGCATTTCCACACTGGGACTTTCCGACACCTGTGAAATGGCAAGAGAGTGAGCCCAAATGTGAAAGAAAGTGGTTCTCGCTAGGGAATATGCCATAGCATTAATTGGACAGCAGTAGGGGATGAGCTCTAAGAATGAGCTGCCCAAACACCTGAAGCAGATCCAGTGTTGGGGAGAAACTTGGGCAGCTACTGGGGGCAGGGTCAGCGAGTATGCTTTGAGCTCCCAGGAGGACATTAATTACATTTAAACGTGGCTCCTTGTGGCCATTTACATGACTCATTTCAGGGTGTAAGAATCATGGACAGGGTCAATGGAAATACCCAAAACATTCATAAAAATGATTACAATAATAGAAAAGAAATTTTTGATAAAAATTCAATGGTTGTGATAAAAAAAAAGACATTGGAAATTCTAGCAATTCAAATGAGATAGGAATAGTCTCTTAGCTGGCTTACTATAGAAGTGGGGCAGTGTGGCTCAGTAGATTTTGGCCTGCCCCAGAGGCTGAAGGAAAGCCTGGATTCAAGCCCTGCTCCTGACACCGACTGACCGTGTAATCGTGGGCAAATCCATTTTGACTGCGTGCCCCTTGCAACTCTCTTGAGACTGTAAGCTGGTGATCTGCCTCAGTTGGGGAGGCTTTCTGTACTTAAGAGTTTCCTGTTCTGATGAAAGCACAGGACTGGATCCTCCCATCCCCTGCTCCCCCAAAAAAAATGCGAAACAAAAACCAAATCATACATACAGGCAGTAAGAAGCCAAAATATGAGATATTAGTCTCTTCAGCAGCTATGAAAGTATATCTAGAACATTCAGTCTTCCCTAAGAAATGGAGAAAAGCAGTGAGTTCAACAGAATTGCTGGCTCGGAGGTTAGCCTCAAACGACCCTGACTTAATAAATAACAAAAGCCACCAAATATTGGGAGCATAGAATTCCCTAGAAGTATATGTCACCTTAATAGGGATGAAGCTGCCCACTAGCATAGGGAATGATTTGTTTTTAGGTGTTTAATGCACTATCAATGAACTGCCCTAAGGACGGAATAAATTCACAGTGCTGGGAGGTGGGGGCAGGGGGAAGATGTGACTGCTGAGGGCAGCCTAGATGAAGAATACAGATTTGGAGGCCCAGATTTTAGAGCCCAGTCCAGAGCTGGTCTGGTCAAGACTGTGCCGCTGAGCAGAAAGGAGAGAGAGGCTTCAGCCAGCCAAGCAGCAGAGGCACATGGACAGAGAAAAGAGAACCAGGAAAGGACATGGGCAACTGCTTAGCTTTGTGAGGGCCCTGATACATGGCTGGGCCACAGCAAAGTCCAGCAGGGTGAGAGAGCTAGGTGGATGAAGATGAGCTGAGGCACTTACTCCCAGATCACTGAGGACAAGAGACATGTTGGCCTAACACGAGTCTCCTCCATTCAGAATAAGAACACCAGATTAAGGATTGGCAGCTGCACCACATGTGCTGAGGTCAGCAAGCAGAGCCAGGAGGACATCTGCATTGAGTTTGGCCCCCTCTTCCGGCCCCCCCCCAACTAGCTGACTTCTGGTCCCTGCTGTGAGCCATCAGGACCTTGGGACTTCCTGGTGCTGGAACATACTTTTCCCCTCCCTCTTGACGGGTGGGGGCCCAGTGAGCCAAAAGCAGACATTGGAATTTGGTGTCTCCCATAGAGAAGAAAGTGTTGCACCTTGACAAAGGCCCCAGTGATAAAGGTTCAGAGGATTTGGGCAGATAACTTAGAAAGAGGAAACAGGTTATTAATTGTTACTTGAAGGGCTGCTTAGCCTCACTCAGAAGAGAAAGCGTGGCACAGGGCAAAGAGCTCTGGAGGCAGAGGCTGTGGGTTCAAATCCTGCCCCTGCTGCTCACAACCTTTGTGACCCTAGGCAAGTCCTTCACTGCCTTGGGCTTTGCTTTCCCAGAGCGTAGCTTGAGGGGTTGGCCTGGACATCTTTTGAGGGCCTCCTCAGCCGATGATCCAAGAGAGACCGATACACAAGTGGGAGCTTTCACCTCTGCCCCATTACGTGGGCAGAAGTGAAGATAATGAGAGAGCTTTTCACAGAGCTGCCTGTGTGTCCTCAGATTGGGGGCTGCTTGAAGAAAGGAGATAGTAACAGTGGGGTGCTATCCTCCAGGGTGGTGACAGTCAGTGAGGAGGAGGTGGAGGGAGAGATAGCCTTTTTTAGCATGAGGCAAAGTGGAGAGGGCAGAATTGGGGCTGGAGCATCTGCTTTATCCATCAGGGAGCTGAGATGGAGAAGCAGAAATAAAAAGGGGTTGGAGAGGGAGAGAGGGAGGGAGCAGCCAGCAAGCCATGACCTTTTGTGTTGACATTAGGGAAACTAACCGTGGAGTGTCATTGGCACAGGGAACACCCTCCACCAGTGCAACTATGCACCTTTTCTTCATCTCACAGTCTTGGGGGAGTTGCCTGGAGCAATGGGGTCAAACTCAAATGCACGCAGGGGCCACCAAAGGCCTTTGGATCCCTGCAGGCCACTGGTGGACTTGGCCAGCCACATGTTCGCCTTCTCTGTGTTCTGTGGTCTTTTTATCTATTGTGAAATATTTCCCAATTTCATATTAATTTGAGTTGGAGACCTGGGCCACACGTTTAATGCCTCTGATGGGTCATAGAGCCAGGATGTGTCAGAGATGGGACTAGAATCCAGGGCTTCCTGGCTTGGAGCTGCCTCTCTGCCCCCTGGCACCATGTTGCCCCTAGCTAGTTGCAAAGCCAGTTCATTAGGTATGTATTAGTAATGTTAGGTTTGTAATTTAAAAAACCCGATGGTCCTTTAGCAATCCACATAGGGGACAGGAAGCTTGGCCCCAGAAGCCTGTTTGGCGTTTTCCTCCATCTTGCTGCTCTTCCCACACCGTTTCATGCAGAGGCCTAGAATTGGTCTCTGTTGAGAAGTTCAGATTGGCTGTCAGGAGGAGGCATAGCAGCTTTAGCATACCCAAAGTATGTGGGTTTGAGGCCTGTCGTGACCCAGTTTGGTATAGAGCTGTTTCTAGTCCTTAACATTGGTACAGAAAAGAAGGCTAAGTAGCAGTTGAGCATGGACTGCTCTGGAGCTGGCCCTGGGCCCAAGGCTCCCTCGCAGCCACTTGCCCTTAGGCCAGGGCTTGTGGCATCCTTCTTGGCTGTTAGGTGGCCCGCGCCAGCGGTTACTTGGGCTCTAGACCACCTTCTGGAATTCATCAGAATGCAGCTGTCTAAAGGCAGGCAGGCCAGCCGGATGTGGCCCAATTGAGGTCTGGATCCTGTGCGGGAAGTAGCAGAGGCCTGAGGTCGTGGCTAGTGAAGGCACATTGATGGACCGGGGAGGGCGGGAGGCATCATAATCTGCTTTCCTGTATTCTGGGAGCCTTGGCGTTGCCTTTCCCCTCTCTAGGTTGCTGTGTTCCTGGGGATTTTGACATGTTTCAATTTACTAGGCAGTCGTCCTGAAAGGGGACCTTGTTTTAATTAGAACAACTCAAGGGCTACATTGTTAGGTCATGAAAGGCAGTGTTAGATGTGTCAGGAAGCAAGGCAGTAGGTGGGATTATGTGTTAGCACAGCTGTGTCGTGTATGGACTGGTGGAAATCAGACACATTTTTTAAAAAAAAAAAGTTTTGTTCTCCATCACCCCCATTTTTGTGACTTCCCCCACTGGGGTCCTTTTCTAATGAGAAAGTTCAGTAAAACAAATCGACACCATGGCTGTTCACAACAGCAGGTACCCTTTCTGCACTCCCATTTCCTATCCCCTTTAGTAGAAACAGGGAAAGATAAAGAAAACTCTTGATGTCGCTGCCATAAACCAGAGTAGGCAGAGGCGGCGATGTTGGGCCATTCTTGGTCTAATGGGCAGGAGCAGCGTACCAGCTTGCTGGGCTTCTTCTCTCCAACACTAGGCCTTGGGGCTGGACCTGATGTCGCATTGTTATCAAGACCTGGCGAGGAAATTCCCACTCAACCACTGCAGCTTGGCGCCTTCTAGCCTTAGGAAACTGACCAGGGCACTGAGAGGTTGTGATTTGCTGAGGTGACGCCTGGCACATAACAAGCATTTAAGAAAGACTTCCTAGTGTATGTCAGAGGCCAGATTTGAACCTGGATTTCCCTGAAGTCCGAGAATGACGCTGTCTCCATTCTTACTGTGCTGCCTCTTTGATAGCTTCAATAGTCCACAGTCCAGGGCCCTTTAGGGCAGGCATTCATAGTACTTTATGTTTATCTCATTTGGTTTTCATGAAAACCTTTTATAGTGTAGGCACTATTAAGGAAACTGAGTTAGTGTCTGCAGCTTCTTCATGGCTCACCTCCTGTATTGGAGCATGTTCAGCAAAGCAGTCCTACCCACTCCAGAAAACAGAGAAGCCAGTGAAAGATTCTGCTCCCCATCCTCCCCCAACATGCACACTGATCCCCCTTTTCTGTCATGTTTCTTAGTTCCATGTTTCCCTCGTGGTTCCCTTGTGGTCTGTAACTTTGCTTCTTATCCAAGTCTCTCCAGGATGGAAGACCATGTTCTGTGCCACCTCAAGATAGTGCTGCCTACAGCTACCCTCAAAAGGTAACCCCCCCTAGTGTTGCCATCCAGGTGGGACCAGGGTGTCCCTGCTTATTCCTGAGCCCCTGGTGCCCTCAGAAGCTCAGGGGAGCTGTGTCTGTCTCTCCTGCAGAGAGATTCCAGCCCTGGCTACTGCAGGGTCACTTAGTCACTTTGCAAAAGGACCCTGTTTAGGGGAGGACAAAAAGTCCATTGCTGCTAGTATGACAGAATGCTGGTGTTGGAACTTAGCTAGGCCAAGTCCCTCACTTTACCACCAGGGACTGGGCCCCGAGAGCTTGGGAGGATCCCCAGAGCTTGCTGGAAGGGGCCTAAATCTGCCTTGTGGTGATGTTCATCCCTTGGTCTTAGCTCTGCCCTCTGGGGTGAACACGAGGTCTTCAATCCTGGAAATCGGCTCTCACCCCAAAGCCGCTTCTTCTCCCCATTCCTTTGACCAGTGCTCCTGTGGCGTGACGAAAAGGCCCTTCACTATCGTGTGTGAGGCAGCTGGGGATAAGTGACTTGCCCAGAGTCACACAGCTAGAGATTGTTATGTGTCTGAGGCCAGATTTGAACTCAGGTCCTCCTGACTGCAGGCCCGGTGCTCTATCCACTGCGCCGCCTAGCTGCCCCTTTGACTTTTTAATGTCCTTAAAATCTGGTACCCAGAAGCACCTGGTTCTCCAGCCGGATGATGTCTGACCTGGGCAGAGGCTGTTAGGACTGTCACTGCTGTCTGAGCGTTGTGAATGGCTGGGGGTCAGGACTCGGTAGTCTCCAGCATCCCGTTCAGCACTTACTCTACTCTTCATTGACCTTGGCCCACCTTCCTGGGGTCATTATGGGAAAGCAGTGATTGTTTCCTGGGCTTCGCCATGCCTGCTGTCCAAGCTTGTGACCACAGCTCTTCCTTCCTACATTCAGATGCTGATGAGCCCCTCGGTGATATCTCCAGCTTCCTGTGGCAGTCCCATGCCGCCAGCTGTCTTACCAAGCTGCCCACCAAACCCTCCGGTGGCTGCCGCCGCTGCAGCATCTGTGCCCTCACAGGCCCCTGTGCAGCCTCTCTTTGTGGCTCCGACTCCAATGAACCGTCCAGGTGGGTCGTTGTGTTTTGGCCATTAGCAGCCTTGTTCCTGCCCTCCCTCAGGTATGTGTGCATGTGTGTACACCCAGTGAACGGACCAGGGAACCCTTGGCTACCAGGACCATGTTGTCTGGAGCCCATACTCAGAGTGCCCCATGCATCAAATGGCAGTGTTGCAGGGGTCATGGGCTGTTCAGTGAGACTTTGGCTTGGACTTGGCAGAATTCATGGGGAATCTGCTGGGGATTGTGGGTTGTATTGTGCTTTGTGGAGCTGACTGGGAGGAGGGCCGTGGTCTGCATGTTCCCCCCCCCACCTTGTGATTGGGATTATTCATGGACCCACATGTATCTCCGTTTTTGTGCAGTAAGTCTTTGTCCAAATTGGGGCTGGGCTGGATTTCCCTGGTCTCAGTGGAGATGATGGTAACCCCTGTGGCCTCGTGCAATGCCCCAAGTTCCTGCCTAGTGTTGATTTCTGGGCAAGAGCAGGGCTGGTCACTGGAGCCTCCCCAGGTGGAGAGCTGGCACCTCCTTCATCTGCTGAGCCTCCCCCACCCCCCACTTGGCTGCCTGTGTTTTTTTTTTTTAATTTGTTTTTATATATATATATATTTTTAATTTGCGAGGCAATTGGGGTTAAGTGGCTTGCCCAGGGCCACACAGCTAGTAAGTGTCAAGTGTCTGGTCTGAGACTAGATTTGAACTCGGGTCCTCCTGACTCTAGGGCCAGTGCTCTATTCACTGTACCACCTAGCTGTCCCTGTATTTTAGTTCTACTTTTTTTTTTCTTTTTTAGACTATTGGGGTTAAGTGACTTGTCCAGGGTCATGTGGCTAGTAAGTGTCTGAGGCTGGATTTGAACCCAGGTCTTCCTGACTCCAGGGCTGGTGCTGTATCCACTCTGCCTCCTAGCTGTCCCTGTGACAGCAGGTGGCCAAGCGACTTAGTGGCAGTGGCTTGCCTGCTTTGGGTTTCGACTGTGGGACCTTTTGGCTAAGTCTGTCACAATCTACCGCCGGGCACATGGCAGCCATATCATGGCGCCCCTTGGCGCATCTGCCATCACCAGTGAAGCTTCTAGAGAATTGGTGATTGATCTTTCTCAAATGTTCATATCCCCCAAAGAGCATTGGGCATGTTGAGATCCCAACTTGCCATTTCCCTGATGGTTCCTTGTTGCCTTGATCTCAAGGGCCAGTGGTGGCGTAGTGGGCCACCATGCTGCCCTTCAGAGCTGTGCCAAGATTTGCTAGGCCTTCCTTGGAAGTTTTTTGGTTCCCTTGATGCTGAGCTGCTTTGCCTCCTTCCTCCATCAGTCCACTAAAGTTTCCTGCTTCTCCACCGTAGCCCAGGAAACTAGACACACAATCGATTTGGACAAGTTTGGTTTGGGGCCTCTCCTAAAGAGCAAAGTTCATGGCAGCTTTTCTGCTCTGAGACCTTTGTATGTCCAAGCTCCTGGCCTTTCTTAGAGGCAGGCAGGGCAGGTTACTGTCTTAAAGGCTTGATATGACATGGGACCATACCTAGACAGTGACACACACAGTCCACCAGCAGGTGTGCCAGAGATGGCTTCACCGCCAGAGTGATCCCAGAGAAGTCAGTTGAGAACAGCCATGCCCGTGCTCACTCCCCTGACACGCTTGGGATTCTGCCGCCAGCTTTTCCTTCACAGCTTCATCAGTGCTGGTGGCACTTACGGGGAACGGAGGTGGGCCCAGATGAAATGACCCCTCAGTGTTCTTTCCTGCCCTTGACTCCACTGGGCCCATGAGACTCCTGGGCTGTGGCTTGGCCTGTGACTAATGGCTCTTTTGTTCCTATCAAGATCACATCCACACATCACGGTCTTTAAACACCTGTCTCTAAGGGCTTTGTTCTTCCATGCTGGGACTTATGTGCTGCCTGAGAAGAAAGGAGAGAAAGGCTTTGTCTGAGAAGTCAGAAGCCATTCTGGAGGAAAAAAACAAATCCCTAAGGCCTCTAGTGCTCCTTCAGGGATTTCTAAATGTCTAAACTATGTCGCTGTCTACAGCAAATGACGCCCATTTCTCTGTGCAAGGGCTGGCGATAAGTAGGGTTTTTTCTATTGTTTTAAATGGTTGGGAGAGAATGATCAGAGTAGAGCTGTTCCTAGGCCCCAGCCTTAATGGCCATGTGGTATGTTACTGGAATCAAGGATCAAGGCCTTCTCTTAGACTCTGTGCATGTGGGAGGCACCTCACTACTGTCCAAGTCAGCCCGTTGCACTTTGGGGCAGTTCTGATTCTTGGGGGAATTTTTCCTTATGTCAAGCCAAGATCTTACCTCTCTGAGATCCCCCCCCCCACATATGACCTTGCCCTGGTCCTGCCCCCTGGGGCCTAGTGGGACAAGACTGATCCCTCGCCTTCACTTGGTGGAGGATGGCTCTCATTTCCCGAGTCTTGTCCAGGGCAGATGTTCCTAATTACTTCACCTGCTCTTCCCGAGGTACTTCAGGGTACGCTCTGGCTTGTTTGTGTCTTTCCTAAAATTTGGGCACCTAGAACTAAGCATCTCAGGTGTCTTCTGGCCAGGACAAAGCACTGTGGAACACTCGCCACTTTGTTACTGTTCAGTTCTTCAGTGGCATCTGACCCTTCGTGACCCCATTTGGGGTTTTCTTGGCAAAGACACTGGAGTGGTTTGCCATTTCCTTCTCCAGCTCATTTGACAGGTGAGGAAACTGAGGCCAACAGGGTGAAGTGATTTGTCCAGGGTCACACAGCTGGGAAGTGTCTGAAGCCGGATTTGAACTCGGGTCCTCCTGACTCCAGGCCTGGTGCCTCCTTGCTCTGTTGGCTGCAATAGGACATTGTGTTCACTCGTGATGAACTTGTAATCCCCTCACACTTCCATGAGCTTGGTTTGTCTGTAAGGTTTTAGGTTTATTGTTTTTGGAGATATTCTTTGTGTGTACCAGCTCAGGACTGGGCTAGGGCCAACTCCGTGAATGATTGCAATAACCTTCTCTTGGGCCCAGAGAAGAGATGAAGGAATAATGGAAAGAGGGCTAGATTTGGAGTCTGAGGCCTTGGCTTTGAATCTTGCCTCTGCCACTTTACTGCTTGAGTGACCTTGGGTAAGTCATTTGACCTCCCTGATCGTCAAGGTTCCTTGGCACTTTATGTCTAGGATCATGTGAGCCTCTCAATGGAGAGGTGAGGAGCTACAGGTGCTGAATGTTGCATACTCTGCTGGATGTCACTTAATTTCACTTGATGGATTTTCTTTATTAAAGAAAAAGCTCATTTAAGGTGGGAAGTGGGGAAGGGGAGGGATATTTAGTAAGGCTTGCTGTCAAAACAAAAGGCAGGAGGGACTTTTTTTTGAACAAGAGAATTTGGGTAGGCAAGCTTCCTGGAGGAGGAGGCTTTGCCCACTGACTGCTCTTCCCTCCCTCCCACCCCCCACCCTGGCTGGGCAGAGCTTGACTGTGACTCATTGCTTCATCACAGTGATCCCATCAGCGACATTCTCTTACTACCCTGCTCCTGTTGCTGCAACTGGCCCACCCAACCAGATGGGAGAACCTGGAGGCATCCCGATGCCACCGCCTTATTCATGTGACCCAAATGGCAATGACTTACCTCGAGGTAAGGAGGCTGGGCTTTCACTGAGATCTCATTCTGTTGAGAGGCCTTCCTTGTGGGTTGGGGCATAGAAAAGCCAGCCAAGCCAACAGAGATTGGAAGCAGCCCAGTGAGTTCTTCTGAAATGCTCAGTAGAGATTTCCACAGGTCTTCCCTCTGTTTCCTGGAGTTGACGTAATAGACTCCATGTCCATGCTGTAGTCTCCTCCATAGCACACTCAGGTGGCCCGGGGCTCTTTGGGATGGGGAGAGGCTTGTGGCCACCAGTGTGCGCCTGAGCTCTTGAAGTGGGATTTTAGCACTGCTTTGAATCTGTCACCTCCAGGAAGGGCATCCACATGGGCCGGAAAGCCCTCTACCACCCCCGAGCCTAAGCCATCTGTGGCTTAGAACGTCCTAGCTCAAGAGCTAAGAACAAGCTTAGAAATCATCTTCCATTTGGACCCTCCCCACCCAGGAGATACTGACTTGCCAAAGGTCCCCCTCCCCAACCCCAGCTATGTGCCCCCTCCCCTCCAGCTTTGCTGTGCTCCTCCACACCTACACTCTCTGCGCTGCCTCCATTCTGACAGACGTGCTTCCTCTCATTTTCTCTCTGGCACTCACTGAGACTTGGATGACGCTGCTTTCCAGGCCTGGCTGTGCCTTCTTATATCAGCAGACTTACCAGTGTGGGGGTTGAAACGTTCCCTGTTCTTTGTCATTGACATGTCCGCATTCACCCTTGCCCACCACAACTGAACATCCTTCTCCTTTGGGATTCACTCAATCAAGGTTTATGTGGATTATCGCAACCCAGATCCTGGTGGTGGTTATCTACCGGCTCACTGGACGTTCTTCCTCCTTTCTCCACGAATTCAGTACTCGCCTCAGTCTTTCTATCTGCCCCAGTGCCTGCCCTCTCTTTGGGCACTCGGACGTGTGTCGCCTCCTGGGACATAGGCCTCTTTTTCTTGCTCTCACTATTACCCACAAGTGATCCAGTTCCATGGGGCCTTTTTGTGTTTGTGACCTGTTATCATTGCCTCACTCTCCAGGCCCTCCTAACGTCATCATGTGGTTGCTTCCAATCCCTTTCCCTCTTTGTTCTTCTGAGGCCATCCCCTCTTCGCTGGCCACATTGACCTTTGACTTGACGCTCCAGTCTGCTTTCTTGTCTCACTGATGATTACGCCCCACCAACTGTTGACTCCAGTTATTCTCACTGCTGCCATCCTCCACTCCTGCTCTCACACTACAGATGTGATCGAGAGGACGGGATGATCCAGACACGGCAATCTTTTGGCCGTCCCTAATTGCTGGCCTCTCCCACTCAGTACACCTTTCTTCATGCTTCCCATGGCACTTTCCGCTACATTTTTCATTGAGGACCTGGCCTCGTTCTTTACTGAACAAGTTGAGACCATTCCATGAGAGCTCCCTCTTCTCCCCTTTTCCTATGTACCAGATCTCGTTTTCCTCTGTCACACGTCACCAGGTGCCTACTAGACAGCTCTTCCTAGACATCTGGTAGGCATCTAAAACAACACATATCAAAACCAGCTTCTCGTCTTCCCCTCCCCCAATCTTTATTACTGTCAAGGGCGTCACCCCGTACTGCGGCCTCTGATATTCTTGCCTCCTCCATCTCTGTCCCCCTATATACCATACCTCATCTCTTCTCTCTCTGTGCCATCTTCTGCCTATGTTCTGATTCCCCACTCATGGCTGCCACTTGGCTCAGACCCTCATCTCTAACCTGTACTATCATGTACAGTAAGAAGCTGCTGCTGGGCCTGCCTGCCTTAGGTCTCTCCTCGCTCCAGTCTGTTCTCCACTGAGCATCTCAAGTGATTTGGGCAGGTTTGCCCATGTCTTTCTCCTACCTGCTAAGCTCCCATGGTTCCCCATTACTTCTAGGATCAAATAGAAATTCTTTCTGGCGCCTTAAAACTCTAGCCACCTGCCCTCTTCCCATTCTTCTTACACATTACAGACGTAGCAGCCTCACAAGTGATAATGCTCTGTTTCCCACCTCTTTGTGTTTGCCCTGGCTGCCCCCATGCCTGCCTGCCTCTGCCTCTTGGAATCCCTGCTTTTCTCCCAGACTTGGCTTAAGCAGGTTCTGCCTTCTGGAGGGGCCTTTTGTGGTCTCTTCAACTCCTTGAACCTTCCCCTCCAACACACCCTTTTAGCTCCTCAGTCTGGTTTGTGCATGTACCGTCTCTCCCATTAGAATAGAAGTTCTTGACCTGGTCCAACCCCCTCATTTAGAAGAGGAGTCAGGACCTTAAGGGCTTGTCTCCAATTGCCCAGCCTGGTGTCAGAGGCAGGACGTGATCCCAGGGCATTCTGACACCAACGCTGGCAGAAGGCACTATGTTACTGTGCCGTCTCATCAGCTTTGTACAACCAGGGGCAAGGTCTAGGGCTGCCTTGGGGCTCAGTGGCCTGTTTGGCTGTGCCCTGCTACAGAATGGCATCCAGTCTCTGGCCTGCTCTGGCAGAATAGCATGAGGGCATCTTAACTGTTGACTTGCCATCTCAGGTTCCCATCCTTCTGTTCTGCTGTTTGATTCTCTGCTACCTGAACACTTCCCATTACCTAGGAATAGGCTGCCATTCCCCTGGCCCCTGGCTAGGCCTAACTAAATCTGCTGACTCCGCTGCCCAGGGTCCTGCTGGATGGTGCTGCTGCTGCTGCCGCCTCCTCCTCTCATTTGGGGCGTACTGGAGCAGAGCACGTGCCGCAGTCACGCTGCACTGGCGGGTTCTGCCACTTCGTCCCTGTGGGACTTTAGGCCAGCCCCTTCCTGTGGCTGCAAGGTCAGGCTGGGGATAGAGCTCCCCAGGAAAGCCAAGAATGTGGTTGGTGTTTGTGGTGGGCCTCCTTCTGCAGTGTAGAACCCGCCTGGTTCCGTTGGTCTCCTCCTTATTCGAACCCCACGAGCAGGTCATTGCTGTAGCCCAGGGGTGGGGAACCTGCAACCTTGAGGCCACTTGTGGCCCTCTAGGTCCTCAACGGTGGCCCTTCGAACCGTGAAGGTTTTCCAGCCCTGCTCTAGCCTCTGAGCTAGCCTGGGCCAGCTTGGGCAGGGCCAAGGAAACTCTGAGTAGCATTTTTGGAGTTTCCCGGTTGGTTGTGGTGGCACCATCTGGCAGAGAAGTGGAGTCTGCCCTCTGGGCTTTCACTGTTGTCTCTCTGCTAAGAACTCTTCACTTTCCCCACAGTTCCATTCCCTTAAGGACTTGGCATGATTCTGTTTTGCATTGATTTGCATAAAAAAGGGGGTGCAGTTAGAATTGGTTGAGCCAACTAAGAAAGAGACTTTTCTGACCCGGATTGCTGAGACTGGGTAGTGGTGGAGGTTAGTATTGGGCTGCTGCCCTCACAGGCCTGGAGGTGGGGGACCCTTCCTGGGAGGAGGAAGCTACTTCCTTGGCCCCTGGGCCCTGATGCCATGGCCGTTCTGCTCTCGTACCCCAGCGGTAGTTGTTCTCTTCCCGCCTCGGGGATGCTGGGAGGGTCCTGGCAGCTCTGCTCAGGGCCGCCCACCAGGACGGTGCCAGCTGCAGACCTGTGGGCCCTGAGGCCTGACCAGGAGCAGCCTGCTGGGAGCTGGTGATGCGTGCTCTTGGCATTCTTGGTACTTTTGGTAGCACTTTCCCCAAGTAACAAAACTGTGGAGCTGGAGCCATCTCCCTGGGGAACGGCTGAGGAACAGCTCTGATCTCAGAGTTAAGCTCAGCTAATTGGCTTCTCTACACTTTCAGCTCTAAAGCTAGGGATAAGGAATGCACAGTTTTGCTCTATTGATTTGGAAGACAGCACCCTAGTCAGCTTCCTTAAGAAGCACCAAGGGCCTTGTTTGTTTTGGGTTGGGAAGTTGGGATTGGCATGCATGCCTCACGAGCCGCTCTCTTTATGTTGCAGATACCAAGGTATTGCAGTATTATTTTAACCTGGGGCTGCAGGTAAGAGCTTTTGGGGCACACTTGGCCCCCTGCTGAAGGCCTTTCCTCCTCTCTTCTGACTTGTTTGGTTTCTCCTTAGCAAGCTAAACTATGCATTAGGAAGTGGTTTAGTGACCATGGCCTTGAGGGGGAAAGCAGGCCCCAGGTCCAAGTTGGGGCCAAGTCGCCCTTCACAAGCACTGGCCGCTGGACCTGTTCGTGTTACTGGTGGGCTCTTTGACTTAAGGCCCTGAGAAATTGGAACAAGGCCAAGTGGTGTTTCTCTGGAATGTTCAGGCTTCCGGAGCTTTGAGGTATGGTCTCTCCCTTGAGCTCCACAACAGTAGTAGTGGCACACTAGTATTGTATTATTATTATGTAGTAGCAGTGTAGGGTTCTTTCTTCATTTTACGAATGAAGAAATTGCTGTCAGCTGCTTTGCTGAAAGGGGCACAGTAAGTTGTAGAGGGTTTATGCCCAGGCCTTCTGGACTCCCAAGTCTAGTAGTCTGAGGGGATGGGGGTGGGGAAGGAAACAAGCATTTATATGGCACCTCCTGTGTGCTAGGCACTGTGCTAAGCACTTTAGAAATGATTTCACTTGATCCTCACAACAGCTCGGAGAGGGAGGTGCTGTTATCTTAATTTTACAGATGAGGAAGCTTGAGGCACACAGAGTGACTTGTCCAGGGTCACAGAGTTAGTAAGTAGTTGATTGAGGTGGGATTTGAACTCAGGCCTTCCTGCCTCTATGAAGCTTTGCAATCCAGAGTTATCTTCCTGACTGGCAGAAGACATGTTCTTTTCAGTGACTTAATCCTAAAACTGCTAGGCTGGCTTGCCATTTGGAAGGCTCGTAAGTAGTGAGGGGGAGGAAGCGCCTGTGCTTTGTGGGCACGGCTTAGCTTTGAAGGGATAGCTCTAAATAGGTACAGCTTCTCTGTAGACCAAAGCTAGGAAAGGAGACAGAGGGGGATGGCTGCGCTCTTGGGGGAAATTTCAGTGCTTTCCTAAAGCTTCTTCCCTGTCTAGAGGTGGCAGAGAGTGACTTTCTTTCTATTCGTTCCCTCTGTCTCTCTCCCTGTAAACGGCCCGCGGGGAATAACCATGAAGCAGCGGCCTCGGGCGAGGCCGGCCACCCCCTGCTACTCCAGCCCTTGGCTAGTTTGCCAGCTTTCCTCATAGGCTGTGGTGTCTGTCTGGGGCTGCTGCTTCTCTCCCTTTCGTTGTAGAGTTGACAGGACTCGTGCCAAAGAATAACGGGATTATCCAAGAAGCGGTTTTCCCCTTGTGTCTGGAGCTTTTTGCCCTCCTTAGTTTTCGTCCTCTCCTGGCAAGGGTGGGGGGGGCGGGGGAGGGGGGCTGGCTGGGATTCCATGTTTGTCCCCTGGGGTTATTCCTCCCCTCATGGCCCTTACAGTCCATTCATGGAGGTGGCAGTCATTGTCATCATCGGGACAGGAGGGCTCTGGAAGATGAAAAAGCTCACTCTTTCTTCCCTTTCCTAAGTGCTACCATCAGAATTACTGGCACTCCATGGTCTACATGCCCCATCTTCAACAACAGCAGCAGCAGCAGCAGCCCCTGCCACCACCACCGCCACCGCCACTGCCACCGCCCCCGATGCCTCCTCTGGAAGCTTACCCTGTTTATCCTGAGCATGTGCCAGCGGCCCAGGTGTACAGCGAGCTGGGGGGTGCTGAAAACCGGCAGCTTCTTCCCGAACCAGCAGCAGCGGCAGGTAGGGCCCCACTTGTTGGGAGTGGGGGACAATGCGGCCAGGGCTGACACAGTGTGAAGGAAGGCTGTGACTCGAGATGGTGGTGCTGCCCCTCGGCCCTCGACCCTTTGGTCTTCCCGGCAGACCCTGAGGTCACAGGGCACTAATCCCTGGGGCCCTGTTGGAGTCAAACAAGAGCTGATGATGCACCAGTTTAGAATTCCCCGTGGCAGCACATCAGGCTTGGAGTCGAGAAGACCTGGGTTCAAGGCCCCCTTCTGACGCTTATGAGAGCCTGGGCAACTCATGGAAGGCACTGGTCAAAGTTAGCCCCAAAGGACTGCCGACATTGGGAGTTTCCTGGGCCTTGCAGATGGGAGGCCCCTGGCTCTTAATGCAATTGGTTACAAGAGACTCAGTTGCCTTTAAATGAGCCCCAGGCCTCTCATGGTTTACACCAAGCCTCTATCCCCATCATGGAGGCATTTTTTTCCTAATGCTCGTAGCCACTGAGGCCAAGTTATCGATGTTTGGCTTGTTCTGATGGCTCATCACTTAGGGGAGAAAAAAGTTTCACCAACATACAAACTATTGGTGGATCTTGAGATACAGCCCTTACATAACTATTCCTGTGGAGTCTTGGCTTAAACATTGTGCGTTCTGAATCCACTGACATAAAGACACATTCTTAGGGGTCTGTTTGATAGTGAGGATGGGGAAATTCAGAGTCTGCCCCCACAAGAATCTGCTGGGATCTCCTTGCTCTTAAGGTCTTTTATCATCTTCCCTAAATCTCTTCTGCTGGAACTGCACTGGTCCTCTCTGTTGATAGAGGGTCATCGATTTCTAGTTGGATAGGCCTGTAAAGGTCAGCTAGTCCAGCGCTTCTTAAACTAACCCTAGCTCATAGTTTAGGAAGTGGAAAAAGTTTAACAAGCCCTGAGCTAGTCTAACCGTTGGAGAAACTGAGGTTGGGAGGAGTTAGTGGCAGAATTCTGACTTTCAGCCTGGTCTGCCGACTCCACATGTCCCTTGCCTTGCCCCTTTGTGTTCTGTGAGTGTCTGTATTTATTCTGTCCTTTAGGTGTCTATGCAAACTCTGAGCAGCCACCACCACCCACCGGGCCTGTCTACTATCCAGTTATGCCGGATCCCTACGGCCAGCATCCTCTGCAAGGATACGACCCCAGTGTTTCCATGGTCCCACCTTATCACTATGTTGCCCCGTGGCATCAGATGGGTGCATATTGCCCCTCTCCCCGAATGCATGGTGCTCTGAATCCTGGCCCAGTGCCCCCGGTGAGCTATGTTCCCCCTGCAGATCCTGCTGCAGCTCACTATTCTCCTCCAGACGTGTGAGGTCGAGCAGAGCACTCCCACCGCCATTTTGCTTGCATTGCCGTGAGACGTGGGAAACATTTGGTTAAGGATTGGTGTTGCTTTCAGATGGTTTTCCTTTGAATTCATGTTAGTAGTTTACAAAAAGATTAAGCTCTATTAGAGTGCTGCCCATGGAGAGTTGAGGTTTGATTACATGCTGAACTCCCAGCATCACGTTCAGCTGTCTGCTCCTAAGCTGCCTTGAGGCCCCTTGGCGTTCGCTGACTGGCCACAGTCTCACTATGAGCTCTTGCTCCAGTTGCCTTACTTGTCATTGAGGCCATGCCCCCATGAGCCTTAGGTTTGCCTCAGATCCACTTTTCCAAAAGGGCGATTGTTACCTCTTGCAGCCTTTAGACTGAATTGTGTTGGTTTGTGACACTAATTTGGGGAAGGCACACAGTGTTCCTCTACAGGAGCAGCAGAACAGATCCACTTGCTTGCCTTGAGTGCCTTAAAGGTCTCCCTTCCAGAGAGAGAATCATTTTGTGTTGTGTTGTTCAGACTAGTCAATTAAAAAAAAGCATTCAAATTGCCAAGTGTGGGTTTCTTTTGTGGTGCCAGAGAGTGCTTGTGGCGACCTGGTTTGCATTCTGTAGAGAGATGGTGGGCCTTGATGTTGGGTTGCGACTGAATAAATGAATGAGAGAATGAATGATAATGGAGGTCGACATACCATTGGTGGGAGGGAGAGTGGGTGCATGGCCAACTGGGAAGTTCTTTGTTTGGATGCTTCATAGCCCTGGGGGAGTTGGAACAGGATGGTGCCAAGAACCATGTTCCTCATCACTTGTCTTCACCCCTGTCACGGATAAAGAGAATTCTCTCAAATAAATGAATTGGAAAGCAGGGTATGGGGAAGTGGGAGGGGGTGCAGTCAGCTGAGCAACCAGTCAAGGAAGTGTGACCAGTGTGGCTGACCAAGGCCCGAGACTGCAATCCCCAAGACTGTTCACACACGGTGGCTCCAGAAATGCCGCTGGCGCTAGCACAAAACATCAGGAATTTGATTACCTGAAAAAAATAGACATGGAACCACAAGTGCCTTTTGAGGAGGAAGTCTTTGTAGAAAATTTCCTCTAGGCAGGTGTGGGTGGGGGTGGGTATGGTCGGTTTCCCTGCCAGCAAAAGGAGAGGTTTGTGGGGAGAGGACACTATGTATTTGGGCAGAGGCTGTATAGGAGATGTTCTTTGGGGTGAGTTACTAAGGGTTTTAATGAGGAGGGTTTGGGGGGAGGGGAGAGCTCGGCATTTCATGTTTGGTGGACAGGCCTGGCTCTTAACGTGAAGGCTGCTGGCTTGGGTTCCAGGGACACATGCCTAGCAGTACCTGATGCCAAATGTGGACCGACTGGAGGGTGAGCCCATAGGTCAATAGCATTTCAAATCCTTAATGAGTGTGGCAGAGGTGGCATTAGGGAGAGGGGTGAGGATTCAAATCTTCCCTTGTGTACATACTGGCTCATGCCTGCCTTCTCTAACACCCTCGGGACTACCCCCCAACTTGTACTTGCAATTTGGGGCCCCAGAGGGTGGCTGCTCCTCCTAGTTCTGGGGCTGATGCTTAGAGATGACTTCTAACACTGCTGGAGAAAGCTCCTCAAATATCAGGCAATAGCTTCTACCAGGGTGCTTCCTGTTAACAATCAGCCAGTAGAAACGATTCCCCTTTTAGTGAGGGTATTTACTAGAATGGTATAAGAACAATCGGCATGAAACGTTCCTCCCTTAAAGCTGGGGAATCCCCATCCTCCAAATAGCATCCGTGTGAAGAATTGGCTCCAACTTGGAATACACTGGGTAGAAAGTCAAGTCTGTGGGCCAAACGGTACCTGGCGACTCCTGGTCCTGAGTGGCTACAAGTCCTTGATTGGAGAGTTCTCATCCAGCGCCCTGTAGGGTACAGTGTGTCTTGGTGGGGCTGCCTTCTCCCTTTGGTAAGTGTCTCTGGCTGTGTGTATCATCTGCACCCATCTGGATGCACTGTCTCCTACAGATCCAGCAGCCTTGATGAGTTGGTTGAGGGGCCTGGGGGGTGGGGAGAAAGGCCCAAACTCCCTCCTCCACCTGTCAGGAGAGCCTCTCCCACAAGGCCTCCCAAGCTTTGTCTAGCTGGTTCTTCTGCTGAATCAAAGGGGTTCAGGCCTTATAAAGAGGCTGCAGGGCATAGAGGCCTCTTGTTTATAGTAAAACTTCACATGTGTGATTGCATTGACTGAGGTGGGGAGGGAAATACTCTTTTAAGGCTTGCAATGAACATTTGTAAAGTGTCCACTATGTGCAAGAAACTGGAGATGCAGAAACAAATGAAAGTCTTTGCCCTCTGCAAGTTCACTTGTCCTGGGAGTGGGGGGGCTGAATGTGGCCCATCCAATAGCCATCCAAAGCAGGTACAAGGTAACCTGGAGGGGAGGGGACCAGGGAAGTTCCTGCCTCCTGCAGAAGACAGCACTGCAGAGGAGGCTGGAAGGAAGCCCAGGATTTTATAAGGTGGACGTGAGGAAGGACAGCATTTTAGGCATGGGATATGATTAATGCAAAGGTATGGAGGTGGGAGGTGAATACCATGTGTGAATAATAGCAGAATACACCAGGATGGCTGGCCTGGCAGAGTGTGGAAGGAGATTAGACTGGTCTGTGATAGTCCTGTGAGCTTTGGGTCACTTGCTGAGGTGATACACCATTCATTCATGCCTTTCTCCATCCAAGCCAGTGATAATGTTGCTGTGCAGAGACCTGGGGCCCTCTGCGATGTTGCTGCACGTTGCAGTGGTTGCTTTGGGCAGGCAGGCAGTTCCTAACCCAGCTGACAGTATGTAGCTCTAGCTGGTTACCAGGATCTTCTGAGAGATTTCAACAATATATTGGGCAGCATCTCAGGCACACTGCGGATTGCATTTAGCGATCCGTGATCTAGGCTAGGAAGAGCTGGCCTTTCAGCCCACAGGAAAGAGCTGGGAGAATGCAGGTGGAGACAGCTCCTGCCTCTGGCTGGGCTCTTCATCTGCTTCCCTTTGTCTGCCTTCATAGAAATTCCCAGAGTGCCTGACTTGGGGAGGGTGAGGGGCACGTAGCTACTTGAAGGAAACTTTGCCTAAGGTGAGTGTGACTGGCCCTGACTAGCTCACTCTTGTCAAAAGGCGGGGTGGCTAGTTTGGGACCGCTTGTTCTTGAAGAATCCATTCATTTCATGGCAGCTAGGTGGCGCTGCAGTGGCTGGAGTCAGGCCGACATCATCCTGAGTTCAGATGTGCCCTCAGACACTTATTAGCTGTGTGACCCTGGGCAAGTCACTTCACCCTATTTGCCTCAGTTTCCTCCTCTGTAAAATGAGCTGGAGAAGGGAATGGCAAGCCATCCCAGTATCTCTGCCAAGAAAACTCCAAACAGGGTCACAGAGAGTCAGAAACAACTGAGCAACAGTATTCATTTCTTTCCTTTCCAACCACTGTTTCAATAACGTATGATAGAGGTTTCCCAGGAATATCTGGAAGACTTGCCAGCCTATCGACCATCTTGCCTTCATTAAATTAAATTGGGCTCTTTTGCCCATCTCCAGGCCTCTTGTATTCTCCATGATGCCTTAGAGATTAGCCATGCTTGGTGTGGTTCCTACGACTTCCTTGAATTTCCTCTTCCCTCAAATGCAGCTGTGAGGAGCCAGGAACCATGCTGCTAAAGAATTGGTTGCCGTTGGACAGGTTGAGGTGGGAAGGAGCTGACTTGGGTAGAATGCACACCTTGGGATGGCTGAGCAGGTTAGCCCATGACCCAGGTGCACCCTGGGTTAGTGCTGTGGTTAACCTGCCTTGGTTATATCTCTGTTTAGCTTTCAAACACTGGATAACTTTGGTTATTTACTAACTGATTCCATTGATCCACCCCTCTGTGTCTTAGCTGGTACAGATTGGTTTGCTGATCACTGCTTTGTAATATAGTTTGAGATCTGGTATTGCTAGGCCAGCATCCTTTGCATGTATTTTTATTTATTGCCTTGATATTCTTGACACTTTTGTTCTTCCAGATGAGTTTCATTACTATTTTTTCTAGCTCTATGAAATAATTCTTTCGTAGTTTGATTGATATGGCACTGAATAAGTAAATTTAAATTAGAATTATCATTTTTATTGTATTGGTTCAGCCTACCCGTGAGCAATTACTATTTCTCCAGTTGTTTGGATCTATCTTTATTTATGGTTTGTAATTATGTTCATATAGTCCTTGAGTTTGTCTTGGTAGGTAGACTCCCAAGTATTTTATACTGTCTGCAGTTATTTTAAATGGAATTTTTCTTTCTCTTCCTGCTGGGTTTTGTTGGTAGTATATAGAAATGCTGATGATTTGTGTGGGTTTATTTTACATCCTACAACTTCTCTAAAGTTTCAAGTACTTTTTTAGCTGACTCTAATCTAGAGTTCTCTAAGCATACCATCATATCATCTACAAAGAATGATAGTTTTGTTTTCTCGTTGCCTATTCTAATACCTTCAGTTTCTTTTTCTTCTCTTATTTCTATAGCTGGCATTTCTAGTACAATATTGAATAACAGTGGTAATGATGGGCATCCTTGGCTTCTAGCTTATCCTTGTTACAGATAATGCTCATGGTTTAAGATAGATACTGCTTATCACTTTAAGGAAAGCTCCATAGATTCCTATGCTTTCTAGTATTTTTTTAAAACAGGAATGGGTATTGTATTTTTGTGAAAAGCTTTTGCTGCATCTATTGAGATAATCACATAATTATTTTGTTATTGTTATTGATATGGTCAATTTTGCTGAGAGTTGTCCTGCATTCCTGGTATTAATCCCACCTGGTCGTAGCATATGATCTTTGTGATATATTGTGGTAATCTGCTTGCTAGTGTTTTATTTTAAAAGTTTGTATCAATATATATCAGGGAAATTGGTCTAGAGTTTTCTTTCTCTATTTTTGCCCTCCCTGGTTTAGGTATCAAAGTCATATTTGTGTCATAGAAGGGCAGTTTAGTAGGACTCCTTTACCTATTTTTTCAAGTAGTTTATGTAGGATTGGAATTCATTATTCTTTAAATGCTTGGTAGCATTCACTTGTGAATCCATGTGGCCCTGGGGATTTTTTTTGTTGGGAGCTCATTGATGGCTTATTCAATTTCTTTTTCTAAGAAGTGGTTATTTAAGTCTTCTATTTCTTCTTCTGTTAATCTGGACAATTTATATTTTTGTAGATATTAATCCATTTTGCTTAGATTATCAGATTTACTGGAATATAATTGGGCAAAATAACTCCTACTAATTTAATCTTGTCTTCATTGGTGGTACATTCACCCTTTTTATTTTTGATACTGGTAATTGTTTTTCTTTTTTTTTTTAATCAAAATAACCAATGGTTTATTTTCTTTTATTTTTTTTTTGGTCATAAAATCAGCTCCTATCTGTTTAGCTTTCTCATTTTGGGGAAGGGTTAGGGTTCTTTAGATTGGAATTGGACCTAGTTGTACTCCATGCACCTGGACAGTCTGAAGTATCATAGAAATGAGGCTAATGGCTATAGCAGCTTTACCAAGTAGAGCAGCTTGGGCAGTCCTAATTCATTCAGCCCAGATGAACTGCGATGCCTTTGTGCTCCTTACAGGCCTTCTGAGCATTCCTTGCCAGGTGGGGACACCTGGACTTCATGCCTAGGCCACTGACTCATCTTAGCTCCTTAACCTTATAGACTGTCATCTGTCTGTGCCCATTAGTGCAGGGCCTAATTCAAGAGGGCTTTTCTCCCAGTGAGTTGTTTTGTTTTGTTTTTTTCCATTTAGCAGTGTTTAGTTCATGTTAGCTTATGGTATCATCAAGTTTTTATAAACTTGTCATCTTAGTGTCCTCAGTGCCCCTCCTAGCCATAGATCTCTGGTCTGGCCACTCCAGCTTTGCAGGAGAAGCTTAGGGGGCAGACATGGGCTCCTGTCATCCACTGACACCACAGCAGCCACATGGGGAAGAAAGTTGTCAAATCAAAACTGGCCTGTGATTCTGCCAAGTGGATCATGCATGCCTTTCTTCTCTTCTAACTGTACAGCCAGGGTGGGGCCGGGGCTGGGGGTCACATAAGAGGATTAGATACTCAGTAGGTGGTTCCTTCAGCAATAATGTGCCCAAGTGGAAAACCCCCTCCCACTAGACGTCGGCCCTCCTGCCGTGGGATTTCAGCCTGCATTCACAGGCAGCTGGGCCAGATGTGCCTGCTGCGTGGGTAGCCTTTGGGGCCAAAGGTAAACATTTCTTTCCTGCTTGTTTGTTAGGCAGTTGAGATTTTATGTGAGGAAGACCTTTATTTATTTATTTTTTTGCTAGGCAATCCGGGTTAAGTGACTTGTCTCCAGGGTCACACAGCTAGGAAGTATTATGTGTCTGAGGCCAGATTTGAACTCAGGGCCTCCTGACTCCAAGGCCAGTGCTTTATCCATTGCGCCACCTAGCTGCCCCGAGGAAGACCTTTATAAAGTGCTGTCCATGTGTGATCTCATTTCTGTGGGCACCACAGTTCAGAAAGGATGTTGACAAGCTGAAGGACGGTCAGAGGAGAGTGGCTAGTGGTACAGCCTCCCATAAGGCCCCCAGCTAGACATGATGAGGAGCTTTTCTGTGGATGATCGAGAATGGTGCAGGATGAGAGGGTGCGTGAAGCTGCCCCCAGAGATGAGATCACAGAGCTCTTAGGCAATGATTTCAGTTTGAATTAGTCTCTTGTTCTGACTTCACAAGAAATGCAGTGGCATACACTAATAGCTACCCAAAATTGCTCTTGGGGCACCCAGCTTAACTCAGGGGGAGAGGGGCTCTGTGTGTGTGTGTGTGTGTGTGTGTGTGCGCTCTGTGTGTGTCTCAAACAACCACAAGCTCTGACTGGGTCCGTACAATACAGCATGCATTGTGGATGCCTGATAAAGGAGAATAAATATCCAAGATGAGGCCTATGAAGTTTCCCAGTATTGCAGTGATCCAGCTTTATGACCATAGAGTTGCCTTCCTTCTGGAGTTTCAAAGTACTTTCTGAATACTAATGAAATCTCCCAACACTTGAAATCCAAGCTTTGTGTATAATGGGGAGAAATGAATTTTTGAAGAGTGTTCACGGAGCTCCCATTTTCAGGTCACTTCTGCAAACATATGCCCCATTCCTTGCTAATTCCCATGTAAGACACTGTGTCAAATTGCCATTTATGAATGTTTATTATCAATAGGACATTGGAAAAGGGAGGGACAGAACACTTGGCATCCCGAGAGGGAAAAGGAGCTGCTTCACATTTTAGTTCACAACAAATCCAAAAATACACACAAAATAAACAATTTTCTTTTAGGAGATTTCATTTTTAACACTTATATTTAAGGATGACGTTAACTTTGCACTGCTTACAGAAAGTACTGGAACAAAAATGACAGTTACTCAAATAATGCTTCTCCAAGAGACAACATGAAGGTTTTTAAGGAGTAGCCCATGATGCCAAGCTGTCATTAAGATGAACATGCCCGACCTCTCTCTTCCTCATCATTGGGCTCAGAAACGAAGGTTGTCCCATAAAGTTCATGCAGACAGGCTTTCTATATGTGCCTGTGAAACTGAGACAGCTAGGCCAGGAAAAGGGAATTCTTAGTGAATGAAACCTTGTCTCCTTTCCTCGCCTTCCCAGGCCACACAATATAAACATACAAATTAATAACACTTGTTGACCCCCCCCCCCCACAAGCTCCCCCAAACCTGGAACACCTGAATCATGATTTGACAACTCTGGGGTTACTTTTTGTGGTCCTGTTTTGGTTAGCTCCCTCTGGAGGGCAGGTGTGTCAATTTCAAATTTCCCCCCACACATTAGAGAGTGTGTGGTGGCGGTGGTGGTTGGGCCTTGAAAGGGACAAGATGGTGTCCCTGTTGGTTAAAGCAGGGTTTCATCGATTTCAGTTCCCCCCTCCTTTTAGCTGGAGTTGGGGGAGGGGGTGGCACCTGATGTTGCTATCACTTGGGCTCCTCTCAGTCAGGCTGCTGGTGTACATCACTGTAAGATAATCAGGACCTCCTCTGGGCTTCTTCTCCAGGGCTTTTTGGGGACACAGGCCTGGTAGTCTAGTGGCAAGTTCTGCTGGATCAGTTCTCTTATCAGGGATGAAATCTTTGTCAGCAAGCTCCTCTGTATCTCTGAGATCACAATGGGAAAAGCCTTAGTGATTCCAGGAAGAGTCTAGGTAAGACCAGCCCACTGAGAACTTTCTGAACCCTGGTCTTTCTCTGGGTGTTGATTTGAAAGACAGCCTTTGAAATTACAGCCTAGCTGCTCACTTCCCTTCTCTTGTTCTTCTTGACTGGAAAATTAGCCTCACAGAGGATGGAAAATATAGTCCTATTGAAAGAGGAGAAAGCATTTCCAAACCCATTTGGAGAATTCTTGAAGAAAAAGACTCCTGGGCAGGGCTTGGCTGTTAGCTACCTATTTGAATGCTACTGCTGGTTTTGAGTTCTTTTCTTTCTTTCTTTCTTTCTTTCTTTCTTTCTTTCTTTCTTTCTTTCTTTCTTTCTTTCTTTCTTTCTTTCTTTCTTTCTTTCTTTCTTTCTTTCTTTCTTTCTTTCTTTCTTTCTTTCTTTCTTTCTTTCTCTCTTTCTTTCTTTCTCTCTTTCTTTCTTTCTTTTTTTAACAAGAAACAAAAGCAAAAACAAAATAGTGAGGGGAGGGGATAGTTTTGGTCACCAATACTGTATAATGGAGAGGCAACATGGTGTAGTGTAAAGAGGGCTGGATTTTAGCATCATAGGACCGGGGTTCAGATTCCGACACTACTGCTTTGTGACCTTGGACTAGTCTCCTCTCTGGGCCTCACTTTCTTCCTCTCTTCTACTAGATGGCCTCTGACCCCTCTTCCAGCTCTCAGTCTATGGTCCCATCAATTCCCTTTCAATAATTCCCATTTCAACCCAGCTTTTGCAGTCATTTTGCTCTGAGCCTCCACTTGAGTACTTGTCTTTCCTCCCTACCCCTGATCTAGCTGGTTCTAGGATTCCAAGGGCTTCTGTGAGTACCATCAGCACAGGGGGAAACTAGTCCTTATGTAAAATGTTAGTTGTATGGAAAAACATGTTCCAAGAGCAACCCTAAAGTGAACTTGAGGAATACAAGACCCTGGCGATTGGCAAAGTCCCTGCCTGGTCCTGCCACCGGTAAGTTGTCTGCCAGAGGAATCCCCTTGAGGCCCTGCTCACATGTGCCTCTGATGCTGCCTTCTTTGGGGATAACTTGCAAAGCGCCCCCAAGAACAGCAGCTTTGTTACTTACTGGCCATACTCCTTTTGGACCAAAACTCCCTCTCTATCCCCTCTTCCTATCTTATCCACCAAATGCCTCAGAATGACATTTGGTTGTTTCCAAAAATCAACTCACACGCTTCACAGGATGGAGATTTCCAATCCCAACAGTCTGCTCCAGACTGGGAGGGCCATTATCAAAGGGGAGTCCAGACCTATGTGGAACATTTATTAAGTGCCTACTGTGCACCAGGCATTGAGAGTAGGAGCACAAAGAGCATTAGGGAATACTGAGGAGCATACGTCCCAGTGGGTCAGGTAGCTGCTGCGTTCTTGGGTATCTCTTCCTGTATAGAACAATGCCATATTAATGCACATTGTATGAAGTGGAAATGGATTTTGAATCCTGGATTTGAAAATATGATATGGACTTTCTGGAGCCTTAGACTTTTAGAAACATTTATTGGAACACTAACGAAACAAAGCCTTGCTTTTTCTTCTGAGGTCCTTCTAATCAATAAACACTGAAACCTAGCTATATAGAACAGTAGCCCCTGAAGAGGGCAGGACTTCCAGTGGGATCTGACACAGGACCAGCATGTTGGAACAAGTAACTGTGGTTGCCAACAGCGAGAGCTCACCTTAACCATCATCTGAAACCCAGTCCAGGTCTGGTCTGACCTTTCATCCATTGTGAAATAAGCAGTCATTCTGATCTGAGATCGACATAACTTTATATTGCAATATCCCCGGCCTCTTCCTGAAGAGGGAAAAGAGCAGTCATTGCCCTCCCCCAAATTGTACTGTGTAATCTCTCACAAAGTCTTTGTCTATCCAAAGACATGGACTTCTTTTGGCTATTGAGATGGTCTCTCTGCACAGTTGTGCCCTTATCCCTGTTTATTTCTGAGTGCCCCATTGATGACAAAGGCCAGCCAGTTTAGACTGGTGACTCATGAAGTCTCGACCTTTCAACTGTGTCCCTGCAGAGGGTTGGCCAACTTAGAGCCTCACTGAGCCCACCCCACCCGTGCCTTGGGATGGACAATGGGATGGACAGAGCTTTCAGTCTGGGAGCTCTGCAGTGCAGTGAAGTCTGCTGAGCCTAGGATTACAGGGTAAGATGCACCTTAGATCCATGCAGGGAGAGAACCCAGGCTTCTGTTTGGTTTCACTGAATCAGCAGCAGTATGAGAAGAGCCTTTCAGCCATGTGAGTTGCATGACTGTTACATCCACTCAGGCAAAGTCATTCATCACATGTGGGCCAAGCTGTGGGCTTTCCCCCAAATTGCTGCCACTCATTCATGCCATGATGGACAGATCACTTTGGACTTCTCTAGGCCATGAGGCTAACCCACTCAACCTTAAATATTCAAATTTTTAATATGTACATGGCTCTCAAGTGCCACTGAACACACACACAACCACACACACACACACACACACAAGTGTACATCTTACACTGTTAGGAAAAGAAAGTGGAATATAAACTGAGGCTGAGAGAATAACAGAAAGGGCAAAGACACCAAACCATTTAGGGCAGGCAGGAACCAACTGAAAGCAGAGCTCAAGGGCCCACAGTGCCCGGGCTAGTTGGGGATGGATTCCTCTCCGCCTCGGTCCGGCAGGAGCTCCAACCTGCAGCACCTTCATGGCAATTCTAGGCCACGTATTAGCACAGAGAGTCACACCTCAAGTCGGTGGTAAGGCTGCAAGACTCGCACGTAGGTTTCACCATGAATGCTAGTTGAAAGTTAGCAGATTGTTGGTTGTTTCTGTTTTACAGGTAAGGTCCTTTGTTTCTAACCTGAGTGCTTTATTTCTTTTGTCTTCTGCAAAACCAACAACCTCCAAACCTGATAGATCTCAAGTTTGTGACAGTCATGACAGACTCCATCCCGTTGCATGCACTCACTGGGGTGAGAATGACTTTGAAGCTGCTTCATGCTCCCCCTTCTGTCTTCTCTCCCCAACAAAGAAGCTCAGTGATCAGCCAAAGGGACTGAGGAGCCAAGATCATGGGGGGGGGGGAGGGTGCCTCGTGGACAAAACAAAGCAAAGCATAAGCAACTGGGGTGGCTACTGGGGAGGCAGCTGAGGCAGTGTCTCTGTGCTGAAGCCAGCGGTGGAGCACCAAATGACAGCTTCTACATCAGCAAAGTCGGGGGTGGGAACATAGAAATTGTTCAAGCCAAAGGAAGGATTTCTCTGGAAATCATTCTGGTATTGTGGTCGAAGAAGGCAGATGTGCGCATGTGTAGCCACTAACCGGTCCACTCAGTTGCCTCAGGTCACCCCAGGGCTCTAGCTGGAGCTGTGGGGCCTTACAATGGCACCCCACACGATGTGCACAGTACCAGTTCTTGGAAAAGGGTTACAATGCCAGGTCTTTTCATGAGCTCTTTAGAGGCCAGGGATGCTACCAGACTTTCTGTGTCGCCAGTGCCCGTTGCAGGAGCTTCATAAATACTCGTTGGATTGGCCTACATTGGATTAGTAGAACTGACCAAGGTCAAGGTCCAGGGCAAGGATATGACTTGGCAAAGGAGTGGCTAATTTCCCCCCCAATTTTGTTTTGAAGTACAAGGGGTCTGTGTGTTCTCTGGGCCAAGGTCGTACGTGCTCATGGTGCTCACTTGGAAGATCAGATGGAGCTGGTGCAGCAGAGGGACCCCCTGAACAGCACGGCATGGTGGCAGCCTTTGGAGTCCTTGGTGAACAGGAAGGACACCGTCATCCTTGGATTGGTTCCCACCTCGCAGCTGAGATAAAATGGCAGTCAGATGAATGCACCTGACCCTGGAAGAGTCTGAATTAGGTTGCACTTTGAAGTCAGAGGTAGTCCATGCATCCCGGGGAAATGGTGCCCCTAGAGCAATGGCTGGAATTCAGGGAGGGGCTGCATGCAACAAGTGTCCCTTCGGACATCATTCAGTAGTTTTCTTTGGAGATTTTTCAGCCTAATAGTGAAATGTAGTTGAGATGCCAAGAAGGACTCCGTCAGCAGAATGCATGCTCCTGGAGGACAGGGGCCTGTTTTGTGTCTGGTCTTGTCTCCACGCCTGGAAAGCAGTAAGATCTGGCTTTGGGCCCTCCCTCTGCTCCATATTGGTGTGAGACTCGTGGCCCCCTTGGTGCTCAGTGGGGGCGTTGGTGGAGGAAGCTCCCTGCTCCAAGTCCAGTCCCTAGTGCCTAGTCATGCAGGTGCTAAAGAGATACTTATTGAATTGAACAGAGAAGCGGCCAGGCAGGTCTTATTATCCCCATTGTAGAGGTGAGGACACTGAGGCTTAATGACTTGCCAAAGTGCATGAAACCAGCAGGTGTCTGTCATGATAACAAGTTTAAACCAAATTCAGGGCCAGAGAAGAGATAAGTAGGAAGTTGAATTAAGCTGCAGTAATGTGCAAGGAAAGTTAATGATGTTTCTGTACAGTCATGTTGTGATGACTTAATAGGGGGGAGTAGAATATGCTTTTGTGTTCTTAGCATCTGGTTCTGGAATAGATATTTTGGCTCTGAATTTTGTGATGGGTCTCTGTACTTCGGAACATAAGAAAACTTGATCCAGCTGGATTACACCTGCCCTGTGACCAGAGGTGACCTCTGCTTATGCATTCTCTAGCTTACAGTGTGGTTCCTGGAAGAAATTGACTCAGTGTGGGGTGGGGACCTCGAGCCTTCATTCCTCCCAAGCTCCATGCAGATGGGCATTGAAATCAGAGCACCTGCCATCTCTCCTGTTCTATCATGACCCCACATTTAAGGCCCCAGGGTTGAAAAGCAAACTCCTGACCATGCCCAAATGGTGATCCGACTGACCAGGCCACACAGCCCCCTTGGAAAAGAATGGAATGTTATCTGTTTCCTGATGCCAACATCATCAACAGAGTGAGATCCAGGACAACTGTCCCTGGTTTATCAGCCACAGCTAGCAGCAAGAAGGCTGTGTTTTTCTCTTCCAAAGATGTACACACAGCCTTGGATACAGGGGCCATCGATTGGAATTTTGTACCATCAAACAAAATGGGAAAGATAATTCTGAGAACTGTTGCTCACAGTAAATTTGCCTGTTAGGAGCAAATGGGATGTGGGAAACCTTGCTACTAATTAATGACACCAGGGTCATTGGCACAGCATTTGTGAATTGGGTTTGGGGGCAGAGGAACTGTAGGCCCAGGGCATGTACACATGCACAGGCATCCTGGCCTTTCACCCCTGGATTTGGTGGAGGCTCTGAGAGTACAGCCTTGGAGTTCTAAATTCTCTGGTCCACTCTGGTGCTGGGTCTTCCTCTGCATCCAGACCTTTTGTTTCTCTGTTCTGTGTGGAGCTTCCTCAGCTGATCCAGTTGAGCTGCAGCTGCCCAGGCTAGGATCCCTAAGTATGCTCTCTGTGTTGGTGTTGCTGGTTTGGGGTTTGGGGATTCTGTTGTTTTCAGGAAACAGTTAAAGTGACAGATGCTCTTTGTCAGATTTTGACACCTTGGCAAGATCTTTTTTCTATGACAATGTTTCCCCTTTCCCCTCCAAGATTGTTTTTTATCCAGGAAAAGCTTTTGCTTGCAGTCATTCTGAAAACTCACCACAGTAACCATCATGGCATCCGGCAGAGGAGCTGCAGTCATCATGTGTCACACAAATATCCTAGCTCTGATGCCAGCAAATCCAAAGGGTATCACAGCAACTCCTCACTTCCACACGTAATGAATGCGTCTTGTGCAGTGCCTCATCCACTGCTAGGCATAACTCACTGGGAGCACTTAAGCAGTCACAGCTTGGTGAGAACAAAGGCACTCTGCCAGGTAAGATGAGGAGAAGGGGACCCTGGGCAGCACTGGACAGCAGCAAAGTCAGGCCCAGAGAGTCAGACTCAGCCAGTGGCCAGTTGGACTTTGCTCAGGAGCTCCTATGCATTGAGCTTTTCTTTTTTTTTTGTGGGGGGGGGAAGAAGAGAGGAGGGAGCAGGATGGGAACCTAGAGAACATGAGGGCAGGAAAAGCAGCGCCAAAGCTTGGAAAGTGCCAATGAACCCTAAGCTCTGGGGTTTCCTGGTGAACCCCTTCATTTAGTAGCAAAGCTAAGCTCAGCATCTATAGGTAGAAAATGGCAAAAACAAAACAAATGCACCAAACATTGAAGCAATAATGAAAGCCAAGTGGGTGGCTCTGAAAGCAGGTGGATCCTGGGAGTCCCCTCTCCACCCCAGCCTCTAGCCAAGAAAGACAGACATCGTGCCCAGCTCAGAGCCGAGTTGTAACGTGTTCTTCCTGTCCATCCTTCCATCGATTCGTAAGCAAGTCACAAGCCTCCCCCCACGAGTCAGACACATCCTCTGTGGAGTCAAGCAGTTTGGAATTGGATGTGCAGATGCTAGAAGAACAGTGGAGAGAACTGGAGGGTGCAAGAGGGCATTCACTGCTCTGCCCAGAGGCCCTTGCACTAGTGCTGGGGGCACACGCCCCCCCCCCAAAGTCCGCCTCTGAGAGGTTGCTCTCACTTTTCGAACAGCTAGCCTCTCCCTGCTCTGGATCCATCTGGGAATATCTGCTGTCTTGCCATGTGTAGCGGGGCTGAATGATTCCATCTGAAATCGTGTACATTGGCTCTGCGCTAGGCTCAGCCAGATGCCCATTCATCTTGGAGAACAAGAGACCCAGTCTCTTGAAAGACTCTTTCTTTGTGCTCGACAGTTTCTGGAGTGGGTTGCTCATAAAGGAGTGCTTACTGGGCCCACTGGTTTTCGGCCTCACTTGAGGGGTGGGGGCAGCAGCTGCACCCCCACTGCTTGTCTTGGATGTAGTCTTGATTGGGGCTGACATGCCATAGTCCCTTTTTTTGCCAGTGAGGTTGAAAGAGACACTCTTGGATTTGGCCTTCTCCCCCCCACTACCATCATTGGCATCATCCTTCTGGGAGATTTCAGTGCTGCTTGTGGAAAAGCTCCTCCGCTGGGGTTTGCGATTGCCCAAGAGGTCAAGCACCTCATAACGAAAGCTGGAGATGTCCTGCTTTAACTCCTAGGGCGGTAAGAATAGGTGCCATTTGTTGAGCCCTTTGGTAGGCAGTACCTCCATGTTACAGAGGAAAAGACACTCTGGGAGGGGGGACATGCCTGGCCTTGGGTCACTAGGCTAGGAAATGTCAGAGATGGACTTGAATTCCCAGCCTTCCTGACTCTAAAATTCTATCAATCTTTGAGGAGTCTTTCGAGCTCGGTCATTCTCAGGAAAGGGTTGGCCCTCAGTAGCCAATGTAAAATTGGAAAATTTGCCTTCGTTGCCTTTCTGTGCCTCTTATTGGTCCCACTTGTGCCCTTTCTGATGTCCAGCTCCACCCCTGGCCTTCACTAAGGTGTTAGCTTAAGGCTCTGATCCCTTCCTAAGGGTATCTGTATTTCAAACGGGACTCATGAAGGCAGAAATAAGTGCATTTAAGGCTCAAAGGAATGACTCAGTAATGATAGACTGTGATAGGTGGTGAAACGGATGTTTTGGGGGCAGAATGGAGTGAGGCTGGTATTGGACAAATGCCCCCCTCCCTCTCTGAGAGAGGCCGTGGATTGTACACATAGGTCATATCCCGCTGCCCCAAACTTCTGAATGCAGAGGAAGACATTGGGCTCTAGGAGGTGACCAACATTATCAGTGGGCTCAAATTACCTTAAAGTTTTCTTCTGTTAGTCCATCATTTGTTTTGGAACTTCTGATCATGGCTGCAACGTATCTTTTCACCAAATTCCGAATCACTTCCTGGAACATAAAGCAGAAACTGCACTCACTTCCTTCCTCTTGCCTAGCTAGCTTTCATCCTGGGATTGTCTGCTATAGAAGTTCACCAAGAATTCACTTGCACTGTAATATTGTGACTAGAGAATGTCCAGAGGGATCCAAGTCTGGGGGTGTGGATGGTAAGTTGTAGCAGTTTGGCCAGAAGGGGCCCTGATTTATAGATGATGAGGTCTGGATGGTCTAGTGGCTGGGAGGGGTGACCAGGAGAGCGCCTCTGGGCAGGATGGGGTGCAGCAGGCCCTGGAGGTGTGCTTGGTGAAATGGGGGGGGCAGTGTGGCTGGGAAGGGCCCTGGGGCAGAGACCATGGATTATGTGGTAGGATGTATTATTTTTTTAATTTGGGTTTTAATTTGGTGTCTAGCACAGTGCCTTGAACAGATTAAGCGCTTAAATATTTATTGGATTGGATGGGATTGGTGTGTATTCAGAGATTTAGAGCTTATAGGTCACCTAGTGCAATCCTCTTATTTCACAGAAGGGACTGAGTCCCCAAGAGGGGAAGAGAAGGGACTTTGCTGAGGTCACACAGGCAGTAAGTGGCAGAATTGGCATGTGAACCCAGATTGACTGGCTCTCAATTTAGAGCTCATCCTATGCCAAGGATAGCTGCCTATCTATCGGCCTTCTAGACAAGCTCTATGCCTTCCACCGTGGACAGGGAAAATGTTTTATCTAAATTTGCTTTTGCTTCCCTTCTCCCTCCCCACCCAGTCACTGTCCAGGGTGCTGATGTCACCTATATTGTCCTATTGAGGTATTATTCCCATTGGCTTGTCAGAGCAATCCTTGTGGTCTGAAAGTCCTTCTCTGGGCTGGTTAGTGCTAGTGACCCAGCCTAAGGCTATTTCCAGTTAGATCCTTTGTGAACCAGCCGCATTAAATCAAACTCTTCTAGGGCCTCATCCTGTTTGTAGCTGCTGCCACTGGCTCTGTTTGGAAACAATGGGCAGAAAATGATGTCTTTTCTGTTTTTCTTGGTTAGGAGGCCAGGCCCAATTTTCACTTTTGGTTTGGACCTGGGATTGGATCCCTGTAGAGAACTTTCAGTGTTTAAATGCTTTCCAGTGATGCAGATAGGAAACAAATCTGGTCTATAGAGGCTTAGAGAGTTGCCTGGGGTCACTGAGAAGAGAAGTGACCTGCCCATGACCACACAGTTAGTATGTGTCAGGGGACAACTTAAACCCAGGGCTTCCTGACTCCAAGGCTTGCCCTTAATCCCCAACAACATGGCAGGACTATAGTTTTTGCCATCTATGAAATAAGTAAAAGCCGATCTTATTAGGAAGAATGACTGCCGATTCTCCTACAGCAGAATTCTCCCACTCTTTGTGAAGCGTCCCAGTGTGCTTATTCTCTGATAGGGAGGAAATGGGAACAGGGCTCAGTTCTGGTCATCTCAGGGTTGTTGGAGCATCCTAAGGTAAGCTGGCCAGCTGTTGAATTAACATCTGCATTTTGGCTAAACCTCAAACTCCAGCTTCTACTGGATCCAAACCAACAAGGCTTTAGTTGGTGCTTACCATGTGGGCTGGGCACACACACAATGGATGCTTACATTCTCCATGCATTCCATTTTTGCTGAGCAATATATGATTTAAATTGCAAAACCAGAAAAGGCCCCCAGCTGGTCCACTTGGAGGGGAAAATGAAGCCCAAGATGAGCCCACGACCACTTGGAGCCTTCTGCTCTTGGCAGAAATGATCTTATACAACCAGAGGAGATGTTGCTTCTAAGCTGCGGGAGCTGGTCCGGTGTTCTTGCCATAGTGCCAGATGTTATAGGGCCTTACCTGGTAATTCTGATTTTGAATCAGGCTGTCAGCATGGCGTTCCTAGAATCACAAATGAACATGGACATTACACCAGCAGCTCTCCTTCCCCACTCATTGCAAATTCCTCCCCGGGACCAAGGAAGACAGTAGGACACAAACTCAAAGTGCTACAGAGAGTAGGTGCTGTCTGGGGATAGGCAGGGCACCAAGAGTCCCCCCCCCCCCACAAAGGAGCAGCCTTACAGTGAACATCTTCAGGTTCCCATGCTTCCTTCCATTTTCCGCCGAGCCCCGGTTGGCATAAAAATGCCTGAGGAACCATTGGCCGAGGTAGCAGAAGGACTTGGGGCTTGGGATGATGTTGAAGGGAGGTGGTAAGGTGGCCCCTTCATCAAAGTAACTCATCCAGAGTTTGGTCCGGGCAAATTTCCACTCAATGTCTGCATGATCCTGTGTGTGTGAGGGAGAGAAGCCTAAGGGTTAGGGAGATGGGCCTGCAAAGAACAACAGTTTCCCTTGTTGTACTTTCAGCTGCCCTAGGTCATGTGTGATCAGCTGCACAGTCACAAGACCCTAGGACCATAGAGTTAGAGCCCCAAGTGACCTCAGGCATCATCTAGTCCTCCCAGGGGAGAAACCTGGGGCTCAGGGTGGTTAGGTGATCCACCCAAAGTAGTGAGATAGCCAAGCTAGAATTTGAACACAGCTTCAGTAACTCCAAAGCCAGTCTTCTTTTGCTATGTCATTGTGGGTGCTAAGATCCATGTGGGATTCATGAAAGGAAACGTGTTAGTGTTCCATAGAAGGGCACTGACCAAGGTAAATCTCCGAGAATCCTAGATGACTTATGTAGAAGGGAGAGGATGCAGTGTGACGCTTCCTCCCCTCCCCCAACCCTGAACTGACCTAGTCTCTTCATTTGCCGGGTGTCTCATCTTGGAGAGTTCTGTGACTAAGCCCATTTTAATTAGTTTCTTGGGTGTTTCAGTATTTTGAGAAAGTGGCATGTTTGATAGGCCATGTGTAATGGCTGGGTTTGTCAAGAGACAAGGAGCTCATTAGTTGGAGATTGTATTTGTGTATTTCCAAAAAGTAGACAGAGCCCCAATCATGTGTTGGCATTCCACTGGGCATTTGTCCCAGCCTAATATCCATACTGTAATTGTCTCCCAGGCTAAGAACCATTGTCTCATAAGATAACAAGGGAGTGGGATGAGGAAGGGAGAAATCAAAGCTATTTTCTGCCAGTTGCTTTCTTCCTTATTTCAAATTCATAACCAATTCTAGCTCCTCCAGAAAGTCTCAAGATTCCAGGAGTCAGGGTTAGGCACTATCATAGTAGCTAAGATTAATATCGGTTTGCAAAGTGCTTACCATCATCAATTATCTCACTTGACCCTCACAACGACCCTGTGAGCTAGCTCTGATAGGTTTTCCAGATTAGCAAATTGAGGCACAGAGAGGTTAAATGATTTGCCCAGGAACACAAGGTTCATAATTGTCAGAGGTTGGAGTCAGCCCCAGTGAGTTCTTGCATTCTAAAAGAAGGACCACATCTAATACTTATGCACTGAATGTGACCTGGGTTATGTAGCTGCTAAATAAAAAGGAAACATGCCTGGCTCTGCAGTTCCTCTTGTGTATGCAGAACAAACCAGATCGAGTTATCTATGAAGACAATGTCTTTCCTGCAGCCATAGGTCTTCTAGACGATGGAGCCCACCCAGTTCGTCCTCCCAATAAGCTTGCTCTTCTAGGATCAAGTGGTTTTTCTTTTGTCAGTGTTCAGGAGTGCACAGAAGACCCCCCAGAGGGGATTGGTGTTGGGCCATTTGTTCCTTAGGAGGCAGTTTCGTTTAGATTTTGCTCCTTTCCGAGTTGTTATAGTCACAGGCAGCTGAGAATTCTGGAAGGGGACTTTACAACCAAAAAGGGGCGTCATATGTGATATGACCTGCTCTTTCTTGCTTAAATTGGTAGTTGGCACAGCATTATGTCTCCTTGGTACCCAGACTCTCAGTGACCCCTTTCCAATTGGCAGTGGAGTGTTTCAGGTGAACTTTGAACCATATCCTTAAATCTTTTTGGGGCAGCGTTGCTCAGCAGTTGTGGTATGGGACTGGTGGAATTGGGCACAAGGCCCTATCTAGACAGGGCTTGTGTTGAATTATATACATGCTTCCTCCCTCCTCCTCTCCTGTGCCAAAGTAGTGAGATCTTCCTCTACGTCGGTTTCTGTCTTGTGTATGTGGATATCTCATGATGGTGCAGTTAATGGTGAGTGGGGGCAATGAGAGATGCTTCTTTCCTTGTTTCTTCTAAGATAACTAAGCTAAGAAAGTAGTAGTATCCAGAGAGGCCTCATCCATCTGGGCTGCTCTGGAATGCAAAGAGGAAAGGGGAGGTTTGGAGTCAGAGAAAAGTGCGGACTTTGGAAGAATGAGACTGAGCAATTCACTGGGGGCTGCTGAGGAAGAATGTTAGATTGGGTATCAAGAGATCATGGCAGGCTTCTCCAAGAGCCAGAAGGAGGGCACGTAAAGCTTGGACCAAGAGGGAACACAGACCTCCTGCAGTTCTGAGCCTGGAGTCCATGAACTTGTTTTTAAAAATGTTATAACTTGTATTTTAATATAGTTGGTTTCCTTTTTATTCCTGTATTTTATTTTATGCATTTAATAATATTATTCTGAGAAAGAACTATGGAGTCTGAATGCAGATCAAAGCATACTATTTTCTCTTTTTTGTTTTTCTCTTTCTTGTGGTTTTTCCCTTTTGTTCTGATTCTTCTTTTACAACATGACTAATGTGGAAATAGGTTTAATATGATTGTACGTGTGTAGCCTGTATCACATTGCTTGCTGTCTTGGGGAGGAGGAGGGAAGGGAGGAAGGGAGAAAAAAAATGTGGAACTCAAACTCTTATAAAAGTGAAAACTATCTTTCCATGTAATTGGGAAAAAAAATACTGTTAAGTGGGAAGAATATTTTTCTGAGAATGGGCTGTATCAGACTGCCAGAGGGGTCCAGGACAGAAAAAAAGGGTCCTGACCCTCAGATGAAGCTGGGAGGTGGACTCTGGGTGTCTGCCTTTAGTTTCTGGTTCTAGATCTAGGATCTCTTCAAGAAGTAGAGCCCTCTGGGCTGGAGGGAGGAGGTGCTAAGCCAGAAGAGTATGACTGATGTGAAAATAGGTTTAATGTGAAAAAAGAGAGTTTGGACAATGGAAGGGACAAAGTCTCAGGTAGAAATGGGGGTGAGTGAGTGATACCACCACACTAACCTTGGCCTTGTCATGTTCTAGCTAGGATTCTGGACTTTTTATTGGTCAGATGAACTGGTCACAGGTTGGAATTTAGTTTTGTCTTCTTTCTCCAATTCTGCATTTTTCTCTCACTTGTCAATTTTCCTTTCCTTTTACTCTTTTTCTTATGCTTCTGTTTCTTACTGCTCCTCAAAAAGAAACAGAAATTGAGAAAAGTCTCCTTTTTTATCTCCTATTTTCTCTCTTTTGTTCTCTAAATGAAACAAAAATTGTCCCTCTTTTCTCTTTCTCCCTCCTTTTCTGTCCTTTTATACATCTGTTTCACCCTTTTTCTAAGAGAAACAGAAGCATCCACTAGTTGAGTGGCCAGACTCAGAATAGTGGTTAATGGTTCAGTGTCTAGTGGAAAATCTCAGTGATCCATATTTGGCCTTGTGCTGCTTTCACAAGTTGTTGTATATGAATGTAATGAAACACTATTGTGCTATAAGAAATGATGAGCAGGCAGATTTCAGAAAAACCTGGAAAGACTTACATGAACCGATGCAGAGTGAAGTGAGCAGAGCCAAGAGAATGTTGTAAACAGTAATGGTAACAGTGTGTGATGATCAACTTTGAGAGACCTGGCTCTTCTCAGCAATGCAAAGATCTAAGACATCTCCAAAAGACTCATGATGGAAAATGCTGTCCCCATTCATGCTATTATTCTCTCTCTCTCTCTCTCTCTCTCTCTCTCTCTCTCTCTCTCTCTCTCTCTCTCTGTCTCTCTGTCTCTCTGTCTCTCTCTCTCTCTCTCTCCCTCCCTCCCTCCCTCCCTCTCTCTCCCCCTTTTGTTCTGATTCTTCTTTTACAACATGACTAGTGTGGAAATATGTTTAATATGATTGCACATGTAGAGCCTATATTAGATTGCAGGCCATCTTGGGGAGGGGACAGGGGAGGGAGAGAACTGAAAGTTTTATAAAAGTGAATGTTGAAAACTATCTTTACATGTAATTGGAAAAAATAAAATACTATTAAGTGGAAAAAAAGAAGGTTGGATGAAACAGGCAGATATGAATCCTTGTAAAAACTAGGATATCTTGGGGAGCAAATTAGGTTAAAATTCTGCCCAGCGGGGAGAAGCCCTCTTCGGGTTTTCTGGCAGATGTGTGTTGGAGGAATTAGGCTAAGTGTAGGATGGGGTGGTTCTCTGAGCAGAAGCAGGAGGCAGACAGGGAAGTTAAAAAAAAGCAGGGTAGAAAGTTCTTCAAAGAAAGTTTTAATATCAACTTTTGATTTCTGGGTCACTAAGGCTATGTTTGCTTTGTCTCTGCATCTATCTGTGTGAGGTTTTCTAAGATCAGCTTGTTAAGGAAGGGAACTGAAAAAGTAGGCTGAGACTCTTCCAGGAGTTCATTTGGGATGTGGAAGCAGAGAAGGGATCTTTCTCTCTCAGTAAAACTTAGCCCCCCAATTTTTTTTTTCCTTTGGTGAGGCTTTAACTGTAACAGCTCCCAGTTTGCTAACATCTCAGACCAAGTAGCCATCATCTCAAGTGAGGTTAATTACTGAGCCACTTAAAGCCACTTGGATCGTGTTGAAATTAAATCTACAGAATTGTTTTTGCCACTGGGCCCGCCTCCCCCCTAATATATCTGACATCAGAACTTTGGCATCAAGGCAACGTGTTTAAAACTGCAAAAATCAGCTTTTTGTCTTTTAAGACACTTTGATCAGGGCTTTTATATCATAGCCTTAAATGCAATCATCTTAGGATTTCAATAATTTGTTTAAAATGTGTATTAACATTGCAAGAGCTGATTTTTAAAAGTAATGTTGGTGAAAATTGTGAGAGAAATGCAGCTTTCTTGATCTGTAAATTAGTAAGTCTTAACTCTCGCCGGATTCTAAAAGGTGAAGAGAAGCAGGACAAAAAGGAGTGTGAGGATGATTTTTGATTTGGAATTTGGAAAAATGTTTCTGTCAAGGATGCAGGCAAGCTTTTTGGAGGAGTCAGAAAGCCCCTCTTGTTCCACTTGGCAGTTTCTGTTATGGGTGAAGGAGGAATCTGATAAGAGTTTGTTCATAAGTGTGATAGAGTTTATTTGAATCAAAATCTTTGGCAGTGGATTAGCTGGAAATAGTGAATCCCATAATATGAAATGGTTGGAATAAATAGCCCTTGTGTAAAATTTAATACTAAA